CTAGCTGCCCCTGACGGCCCTGCTGGCCTCCACCTCCGCTCGCACCCTGCACTGCCCCCGCCTAGCTCCCAGACCAGCTGTCTGGGGGCAGATCCAGGATGCCACAGGGACTTTGGGGTGTGCAAGGTTGGCAGATGAGTGGGGACTCCTGAGTGTCCTGAAGCCTCAGAGCCAGCAGGGGCTGGGTCCCCCGGCCTTTGGGTTGGTGACTCTGAGTTGGAGGAAGGTCTCAGCTCGGTCTGAGGTCAGAGCCTTGAGAGTCGCTCGCTCGCTGTGAGGCAGGGAGGGTGACAGGTGCAGTCTCCTTTCTTGTGCCTCAGTTTCCCCAGATGCTCCACGTGGATTTAGAGTGGAAAGCAGCCAACCTTCTGGTTGGGGGGGGGAAGGAGAGCTTCTGCTTCTCTCAGCGACCCCCACCAGTCAGCTGTCAGTGATCAGAGTGGAGTGCTCTGCTCACGTGTCACTGCATTCCCCCCCTCCAGGGACCCTTCCCCAAATCAGGCAGCTCTGATGGCAGAGCTGGGCCCGAGGAGCCTGTGTTCCGGGTCACTGTTCTCTGCTGCTCTTCCTCCACATCGGGAGGGAGGACTCTGGCACTGGGGTACCCCCAGGACTGACCTGCCCCCCCCTTTGTTTCTCCCTCCCAGGCCTTGTACAGTTCCATCAAGAATGAGAAGTTGCAGTGGGCCATGTGAGTCCTGGGGTTGAGAGGGGGATGGGGGAGCAGGGGGACAGCGGCTGCCCAAGAAGGGGAGAGCTGGCGGGGTGTCCGGACGGGGAGCTCGAGGCCAGGAGCAGCAGCCAGGCTGCCCCACTTCCTTCTTTGGAAATGCCTGCCTAGACCTGGGGTTCTGTCTTGTCTCTAGCTAGGTTGTTATGACACGCAGGGGTGGGGTGGGTGGCCACTGTCATCTGACCTGGGAGGAGGGGTACCGAAACACAAAGGGGAGGTCTCTTGGTAACCCCAGTGGGAAAGCAGAAGTTTCTGGGGTGTGGCCCTGAGCGGTAGCACAAGTGCCCTCTAGGAAGGCCTGCAGCAGAGCGCAGGGCCCAGGACCCCACTGGAAAGCCCCCGAGTCTCAGGAGAGTCCAGTTCGGGGCAAAGTGGGTGCAGTTTCAGCGGCTGATCCTCCCGTCTGAGGGGCGTGTGGCGGAATCCCCTGAGCCCTAGGAGTGCTCAGTTGCCCCTGGGGTGCGCAGTTGGCGGGAGAGAAGACCTCAGAGGGGCCAGAACTCAAGGGTGGGATGCAGGGGAGATCAGAGAAGGCCGCTCTAGGGCCAGGGCAAGTGCTGGAGGAGGGAACCGCTTCTCTGCGGGAGGAAGGGGAAGTGGCTCCTCAGGCGAACGTGTGAGTGAAGTGAGTGTGCGGAGGCGGGGCTGGAAGGCAGAGCGGACCGGCCGCCGGCAGCTCGGGAGGGAGGGAGGTTCGAGTGAGAGTCAGAAGCCTGCGGGACTTTTGCTGGCGCCTCAGGACCAGGGCGTCCTGGGGGCTTCCCCGCTAGGATGATTTGGCACCGGGTGGGACCGAGATCCCCAAACCCCACGTGCATCTTGTCCTGGTGAAGGATGGGAGGGCGACGCGTGCAGAGGGAGAGGCCGGGGCTGGGGCCAGGTGAGGGGAGAGGACAGGACAGACACGGGTGGCACCCCCAGTGACCCCAGCGTTGAGCTGGAGCCCCGCGGCCCGGAGACGGCCGGCCCCAGGCCCCTCCCACTCCGGGTGGGCGGGGCCGGGGCTGAGGGGGGCGGCTCCCCAGCCGGCCCCCTCTGAGGCATCGCCCCTGCAGCGACGAGGAGGAGCTGAGACGCTCTCTGTCTGAGCTGGCCGACCCCAACCCCAAGGTCATCAAGCGGGTCAGCGGGGGCGGTGGCAGCGGCTCCAGCCCGTTCCTGGACCTGACTCCCGAGCCCGGGGCGGCCGTCTACAAGCACGGGGCCCTGGTGCGCAAGGTGCACGCAGACCCCGACTGCAGGAAGAGTACGTGGCCGGCTGGGCTGGGGCCGGGTGGGGGGGCAGGGGAGTGGGCCAGCACCCGGCGCGCCCCTGACCTGTCTTCCTCCCCCAGCACCTCGGGGCAAGCGGGGCTGGAAGAGCTTCCACGGTGTCCTCAAGGGCATGGTCCTCTACCTGCAGAAGGTGCGGGGTGCGGGGGGGCTGGGGGGGGGCTGCGCTGGCTCCGGGTGGGCCGGCCTGGGCGGGGCTGGGCTCGAGGCAGGACGAGGTGGGTACCCCTGCAGGAAGAGTACCAGCCCGGGAGGGCCCTGTCGGAGGCCGAGCTGAAGAACGCCATAAGCATCCACCACGCGCTGGCCACGCGCGCCTCCGACTACAGCAAGCGGCCCCATGTCTTCTACCTGCGCACGGCCGACTGGCGGGTCTTCCTCTTCCAGGCCTCGTGAGTGCCAGCCCTGCGCCCCAGACCTCCCCCCTCCGCGGCCCTGCTTGCTTGCAAGGCTACTCCCCCTGCCCGGGATGACTTCCTTCCTTCCTTCCTTCCTTCCTTCCTTCCTTCCTTCCTTCCTTCCTTCCTCCCTCCCTCCCTCCCTCCCTCCCTCCTTTTTCCTTCCTTCCTTCCTCCCTCTCTTTTCCATCCTCCTTCCTTCTTTCCTTCCTTCCTTCCTCCCTTCCTTCCTTCCTTCCTTCCTTCTTTCTCCTTCCTTCCTTTTCCTTCCCAGGCCACCCTGAGCTGGCCTGGACAGACACCCCAGGCCCAAGCCTCAGGGGGCCGCGTGTCTCCCCAGGAGCCTGGAACAGATGCAGTCCTGGATCACGCGCATCAATGTGGTGGCTGCCATGTTCTCGGCGCCCCCTTTCCCAGCTGCCGTGAGCTCCCAGAAGAAGTTCAGCCGCCCTCTACTGCCCAGCGCTGCCACACGCCTCTCCCAGGTGCCCGTGGGGTTGAGGGGAGGTGTCCGAGGCCAGCATCCTTCCAGCTTCTCAGGTGGCTTCGTTGCTGTCCACACCGGGGCCCTGGCCATGGGCTATCAGCAGGGTCTGCCTGCCGCTCCCCCAGTCACAGGGCTTGTTCATGCAAATGAAGAGGCAGGGCAGTTTTTTTGAGGCTTTTTTTTTTTTGTTTTAATTGTGCTACCAGTGATGAAACCCTTCCTCACACCTAGAGGGCACGCTTTTTGGGAGGGGGAAGGTGTGGCCACAAGTGGTGCTCAGGGGTTACTCCTGACTCTATGCTCAATGATCACTTCTAGTGGGGCTCAAAGGGGCCACCTGGGGTGCCAGAGTCCCCTTGGGGACTGCTGCAAGGCCCACCCACTGTACTAATGTTCTGGTCCCAGGGGACCTTTTTAAAGAACTTGCACCTGTGGGGATGTGGCTACCGGGAGGCCAGACCTCAGCACCACAAAGCAAACCTTGCACAAAGCCCCACACTCCTGAGCTGGGAGCAGCTCCCGAGAAACGCCAAGTTTGGCCCCCAAACCGAAGCCCACCCAACCTGCGCAGAACTCTGTGTGCTCCAACTGCTATCCAGAGGGGGCGACACTGCCCCCCGGGGGGCACTAGAACAACCCAGGGGGCAGGGGTAGTGGTGGGCACCATCCAGGGGCACTTTGTCTGCTTCTAGAAGGTGGTTTTCCAGGGGCTGCTGCGCAATACTTTCCTGAAAGGCGGGGCCAGTCCGGGCACCTCTGGGCTAGAGAGATGCTGACTTGGCTCCCCCTGCCCCAGGAGGAGCAGGTGCGGACCCACGAGGCCAAACTGAAGGCCATGGCGAGTGAGCTGCGGGAGCACCGCGCCACCCAGCTGGGCAAGAAGGCCCGGGGCAAGGAGGCCGAGGAGCAGCGGCAGAAGGAGGCCTACCTGGAGTTTGAGGTGAGCCCGCCTCCCCTTGGCACTCCGCACCCCCACGGGGCCCCCAGGCTCAAGCTAGGAGAGCCAAGCTGCAGGGCCTGCTGGAACAGTGGCACCCCGCTAAACCCGAGCCCCAGTTCCCACTCATGTAGGACCGGGCCAAGGCACCATGCCTGGGGGAGGGGAGAAGGGGCCGCCCTCCCAGTGAGTGGTCCTGAGACCGCAGAACCCCAACCCGTCAGGCGCCTCAGTCCTGGTAGGGCTGGGTGGAGCAGAGCGGAGCGTGGCCTCCCAGCCCCGGCCTCTCTGCCGCAGAAATCCCGCTACGGCACGTACGCTGCGCTGCTTCGGGTCAAGCTGAAGGCCGGCAGCGAGGAGCTGGATGCTGTCGAGGCCGCGCTGGCCCAGGCCCGGAGCACGGAGGAGGCGCACCCCCCAGCTCACTCCAGCCCCTCCCTGCAGCCCCCCTCCTCCAGCCAGCCCAGGGCCCAGGGCCACGGTGCGGAGGCTCGGGCCAGGGTGGGTAGTGGGCGGCGGAAGCCCTGAGCTGGGGTGGGAGTGTGTGGGGGTGATGCCCACTGGGCACCTGCATGACGTGGTCCTGCCTGAGCCCGGGCCGGCCTCGGGTCACCCATGAGGACACCTTGGCCCAGGGCCTGACCGCGCCGGACGCGGTGTCCGGGGCAGGGCAGGGCTAGGGCATGAGCCCTGGGAGCCCAGGCCAAGGACCCCTCCGAGACCCCCTTTTTGTGATAATGTTTTGCACTTTTTCGTACAGGGGGCTGGGGCGGGAGGGGCCAGGGCCCCAGGACTTTTGATGCTCTTTTCTTTTCGTGGGGGAGGCCTGACGACATTTCCGCTTTCTGCTGAGACCACCCCACCCTGACACCAGCAATTGCCTCCATCCTGGGGCCTGGTCAGACGGAGGCCAGGAGCCGGGGCTGAGCTGGTTTCTCTCCTTCCTCCCGAGCGCTCCCCTTCCCTCCCTCCTGCGGTGGAAGGGCGTCCGTGCCGAGCCCTGGACCCTGGCTGGGGCGGCGTGGCCTGGCTCCCCGTCCTTTGGGGAGCCCTGCCCTTTGTAGAGCCTCCACCCCCATTAAAACTGCTCTGGACTTGCCGCTGGCCTCCGTCTCTCCGGGGCTCGACGGGGGGACAGGAGTCACACCCGGGGCTACGATGGTAACTCTGGGAGGAGGCTGGGCCCCCTCCCTCTCCCATGAAAATTCTTTATTGGTCTCCACCAAGGGGTGGGCATGGGGCGTTAAATAAGAGCTGGAATGGGGGGGGGCTGTACAGAGTGGCCCAGGAAGGAAGGGGCTGGCAGGCGGGCACAGTCAGTGCACCTGGGGCTGGGGGTGCCCGTGGCAGAGTCCGCCTGGCGGCTCGGGTGGCGGGCCCAGCTTCTCAGCCTCCTCCTGTTCCACCGACTGGCTCCCGTAGGCGCTGTCCTCCTTCATCTCCACTGGCGCCAAGGATGGGGAGACGGAGTCAGGGTCCTGAGCCCACCCCCAGCCCAGCTCCCCCTCGGAGGCACCCTTTACCTGTGCTGGGCAGCTTGTCCCCGGCTTCCGGGCCCCTCAGCAGCCTGACACCCTCCTCCAGGCCCATGTCGGACAGGGCGTCCAGCAGCCCCGCCAAATCCCCACCAGCCAGCTGAATGGGAGAGAGAGAGGCATGAGCCCAGAGCTGTGTTGGGGTGGGGGGTCAGGGCCCGGGGCACAGCACGGGGTGAGGGCGCCGACCTTGTAGCTGCGCAGGAGGCTGCCACTCGGGGACGCCGTCTTCCGGTAAGTGTCCACTAGACTGCGCAGCCCCAGGCGCTCCGCCAGCTCTGCCCAGCCACCCTGTGTGCCCGGCTGGTCCAGCAGTTGCTCCAGGTGCTGCAGGGCTGGTTCCTCTAGGGGAAGCTCTGGTGCTGGGGGAATGGCTACAGTCACCCCGAGAAAGGCACAGGTCCCCGGCCCTTCATCCTCCCACCTCAGGCTGTGAAGGAGATCAGCGGTGACATCTGCCTCACCTGCAGGGCTCGGCGGGGTCACGGGGGGCACCAGCCTGCCCTGAGCAGCGTGGAGCAGCAGGGTCTTCACCTGGGAAAGGCTCTGCTTGATGCCCGTTCTGGCCCCACGGGAAGCCCAGCCCCCCACCCAGGTGCCTCACAGCCCGGTCCTCTCCCCGAGGAAGCTCAGCCCTTCGCCTGGCTGACCTGTAGCTCAGTCCTCTCCACTGGAAGCCCAGCCCCCAGCCCAGGTGACCTGTAGCCTGGTTCTCTCCCCAGAGGGCCTCACCTTGGTGCTGCGAGTGAGGTCAAGAGCTGTGTGACCCCGGAAGCCTCTTGGGATGTCCCCCTCTGAATCTGAGTCACTCTCGGAGCTGGGGGGCGAGGGCAGCAGGCGCAGTGGCTCCCCATTCTCTGCGTGGATGTTGGCACCTGAGGGAGGCACCGTGGGAGCCCACATGAAGGACGATGCCGTGGGGGCCCCGTCTCGTCCCAGACCCTGTTCCCGGGGCCCCGAAGAAGCGACTGACCCGCCTTCAGCAGGAGGCGCGTGAGAGTTGGGGACCCCAGCCCGGCGGCCAGGTGGAGGGCGGTGTTCCCTGCGAAGGTGCGGGCGTTCACATCGGCATGGAGCTGCGGGTGAAAGGAGCTGTTTGGTCAGTTGCACCCCAACCCCAAAACTGTCCACGTCTCCTCACAAGCCCAGGCCCACCCACCTTGGTGACCAGATGGGTGACCAGGCCCAGCTCCTCCATCTCCGTGGCCAGGTGCAGGGCCGTCCGACCGCCCTGCCGCTCTGCAGCCTCCACCTGAGCCCCGCTCTCGGCCAGCAAGTCCAGGCACTCGGGGCTCCGCGTGCGCACTGCCAGGTGGACCGGGTACAGCCCTGTGGACACAGGACCCTCAGCCTGGCACGGGGACCCCGCCCGCCCCTCCCGCCGCCCCCTGCTCTGAGGAGCTGGGGAGCGCACCCTCGAAGTCGGGCATGTGCAGCAGTGGGAGCACGCTGGGGAGCCCGCTCTGCAGCAGGGCGCGTAGCAGGTCGGGGGCGCAGGCGCCAGCCCGCAGAGCCAGGTGCAGCGCCGAGTCTCCGTGGCGGTCCAGCAGCGCCGGGTCGGCGCCCACCTGCAGCAGGAAGCTCACCACGTGGGCCTGCCCTGTGATCACCGCCAGGTGCAGGGGGGTCTGCGGGCACAGGCAGACTGAGCCGGGCTGGCCCCTGGCCCAGGCCCCCGCCCGCTCTCACCTTACTATAGGGTGCCCATCACCTGGTGCAGGTGGTTGGTGAGGTTGACCACGCCAAGGTGCTGCGCATGGCAGATGACCTGGATTATCTGCTCGATGACGTTGCTCTGCCCATGGATGATGGCCAGGTGCAGCGGCCTGGGGGGGGGGCGGACAGCAGCATGGAGGTTGGGCGGAGCAAGGCCGTTCTCAGCGTTCCCACCCTAGCGCTGCCACACCTCCCCCGCAGCCCCGGCCAGCCGGCTGTCTCCACAGGCAAAGCAACACCTGAATCGAAGCTTGGGACACCTTTTTTGGTGGATAATATATCAGTGCACCCCTTTATAATATATATATATATATGTATATATATATATGTTTTTTCCGCTTTTTGGGTCACACCCGGTGATGCATAGGGGTTACTCCTGGCTCTGCACTCAGGAGTTACTCCTGGCGGTGCTCAGGGGACCATATGGGATGCTGGGAATCGTGCAAGGCAAACGCCCTACCCGCTGTGCTATCTCTCCAACCCCCCGCCCCCTTTATAATATTGGTGCTTAGGGTTTACTCCTGTCTTGAGCTCAGGGATCACTCTTGAGGGCACTTGGGAGATCATTTGGGTGCCAGGGACCAAACTTGCGTCGGACACATGCAAGGCAAGCACCCACCCCGCTGTGCTCTCTCTCTGGCCCCTTCACTCATTTAATACTCCACAAAACTCAATCTGGAGGGCCTCAGTTGTTCGCACAGAGCTAACCCGAGCAAGGCTGCACCTGAAACCCACCCGCCCAGTTCCGGATCTCCACGTCTCCCCACTAGCCCAAGTCCACCTTGGTGACCGGATGGGTGACCAATCAATCCCAGCTCTCCCAGGCTCCCGACACCCCGTGACCTTGCAGGAGGCACTCAGTCCCGACCCGCCAGGGCGCTCCCTCGCCCCGCGGCCACCTACGTGTCTCCGTCCTCGTCCTGGGCCGTCAGGAGGTGGCGCTGTCCCGCCAGCAGCGTGCGTGCGTCCGCCGTGACGCCGTAGTCGAGCAGGGCTCGGGCGCTGCGCTGCGCCAGGCCGAACAGGCGCGCGTTGTACTCGCGAGCTGGGGGCGACAGGGCGCCCGGTGGGCGTGGGCCACCAGGTCCCCAGCCCCGGTGTCCCGATCCCCGCCCCCCCCCCCCCCCCCGCTCCCGCGAGGCCGTACCTTGCCGCAGCTGCTCCGGGGCTGGCGCCTCGTGCTGGGGGGTCTCGGAGGGCGCGCTGAGCTCGGCTGCTCCGTCCTCGTCCTCCGTTTTGGGCGCAGCGGACATCTGCGCCCCGCCCCCACCTCCCGGGTAGCAGCCCATGGGGGCCGCGCCCGACTGGTAGGGGCTGTAGGCCAAAGAGGAGAAAAAGCCGAGGCTGCCCCCTGGGGGTGCGGCAGGGGCGGGGAGGGGCGTGAATGACTCCCACATCCCTCTCCCCCACAACCGCTTTTCCCCTTCTCCCCTTCCTTCCTCCACCCCACTTCCCATCGCCCTCACCTCCTCCTCCTGCTCCTCCAAAACCGCCGGCTGAGCCCCCAGAACCTCCACCCATGTGGGATCCGCCCCCGAAGGGCTGGGAGAAGGTGGGCAAGGTCTTCCGGCGCTTGCGCTGCACCTCTTCCTTGTCTGCGGGTGGGAAACGCTGTTCAGAGCTTCCCGGGGGTCCCCGCCCACCTCCTCCCAGACCTGCCCGGATCCCCGGATCCCCGTAGCCCAGCCCCGGCTCCCCCGCAGGGCTCCACCTTCCACCAGCGGGTAGTAGGTGAACTGTTTGGAGTCGGAGACGTCGCCTCCACGTTTGCGCTTCAGTTGCAGGAACACGGTGACGGGGCGCTCGATCTTCATCTTGTGATAGGGAGGTGTCCGGAACACGATGGCATACTGTGGGGGCGCGGGTGTGTGGCAGTCAGGGGGGGCGTGTCTGCCAGCGCCCGGCCCTGCTCTCGGCCCTGGTGCAACGTACCTGTTTGTGGACATCTGTGGGAGAGAAGTCCCCAAAGGCCTGCCAGCCATTCTCATCGTCCTCATAGAAGCGAACCTCAATGTCGTCTGCAGGGAAAACAAATGTTGGGCACGGCCCTGGGAGCTGATCCGGCGCCCAGTCTTAAGCCTGGAGCTTGGAGCCTGGGCTCAGACTCACCTTTCTGCACCTTGTCACAAAGCAGATAAACCTCATCTCCACCCCGCACAGAGCCAGCTGTCTTGTCCATTCGAGAAATCTTCAAGTTAGAGGCTCCGGGGGATTCTATGGAGATCGGAGATTGAATTCAGGAGATGGTGCCAGGTGCTTTGTGTCCTGAGCCCCCCATCCCCCGGCCCCCCTCTCCCCCAGGCCTGAAACTGTGACCATCTTGGTTCACTAAGATGGAAGCCAGACACAGGGAAAATGACTCCACAGTCTGAGGTCCCCCCAAGCTCCCTCTGGTGATCAGGACACTCACTGCTGTCATGGATGGGCTGGGAGATAACTGGCTTCAGGGGCAGGGAGAAGGAGCCATCGCTGGCCCGAAGGAAGGCAGAGAAGCGGAGCCGAACGATGCTCAGATCCATCACCTTCTTCAGCTCTTTGGCCTCCTGCTCCAGTTCCCGCCGCTCAGCCTCTGGGTAGGGCACACGCAGGACTCCTGGACCACTCCTTTCTCCAGCATCTCCACGACTACCTCCCACACGCCCTCTCTTCCCCCACCCCGCACCTGTAATAAGTCCCAGGGATGTGGAGCGGAGGCGCTGCCGTTGAAGTTTCTGTATCATGATATCCATCATGTTCTTCTTGGTCACATGCAGGATGCCCAGGTTGTTGAACCTAGGGGCGTGGGGGGCAGGGGTCAGGCCTCGAAGACTGTTTCCGCCTCCTCCCGAAGCACACTCCCCACTGCCACGCCTCAGGAGGGCCTCTCTGGTGTTCAATGCGGCCATGGGCTCTGGGGGCAACCCAAATATCACCCGTCCCGGGGGGCTGGGCTCACTTAGGTGGGCTGGGGCCTCGAGCTGGCAGGCAATGAGGGGGGTATGTCGTTGGGGGTCAGGGGTAGGTGGCACCTACTGGGCAGTCATGTCCTTGGGCCCCACAGACACGACGCAGACCCCCAGCTCCGAGCACTGCTTGCCCACCAGGCTGTGGGCATGAGCGCGAGGCGGGTCACTGTGTGTTACCAGGTCCACCTCGATCTTGGCCAGTCCCTCGTAGTTACAGATCTGGGAGGAGGACGCTGTCAGTAATGTCCCTGCACACAGAGCCCTGGATGCGCCCCCTGGGCACTGCAAGCCTCACCTTGACTGTGGGATACGTCTTCCGGCCCTTCTCGCTGGAAGCACCTGGCAGCCCTCCATGGGAGGGGCCTTCGCAGCCATATCGGAATCGGAAGCCTCGCTGAAGGTCCCAGTGCAAAGTCACATTGGCACCAGGAGAGACAGTCCCCAGCCAGCCACACCCCCAGCCATAGTGAAGACTCCCCCTCACCCCCCACCCCTACCCCACCGTAGCTTCTGCTCACTCACTTGCTTCGGCTGCTCCACAATCACCAGATATGGGCCATCAGCTGGGGACAGAGGGGACTTGCTCAGCCAGGAGCTCTTGGCCCGTCTCTGAGGCAGAGGGCACAGACGCACCACCCCCGGCCCAGATGAGGGAGGCAAAGGCAGTTACTAACCTGTCTCTGGCATGGGCTCCTTCGGCTCCTCAATAGCCGGGTTGAATTTGAAACCCTCGTATTTAATGATCCCATCGAGGCCCTGCTTTGGAGACGGACAGTAGCAGCGGACTCGGCCATCCCAGGGGACCCCCCCCACCTCCCAGCTCTCGGCACCCACTCCCTCCCCCTCCCTTTAGAAAGCTCATATTATTAACGGAGTGCGGACACACAGACAGCCAGGCAGGCTGAGATCATCGGAGGGCATTCGTCTGGGTTGTGGGGGAGCAGAGGGGATTCCACCAGACATAGGGGAGCAGCCGGCAGGCTTGGAGGCCAGTCGGCGGCGGCGACTCACTGGGTCGTAGCAACTGTCCATGTTTCTGGGCAAGGCCCGGCTCTGTCTGGTGGCTCCGGTTCTGTTTCCCCAAGTTCCAGGCGCCCGCCTTAGGAGCGAGGGAGTGGGGGGTTGGGGAGTAGGGAGGAGAGAGAGATCAGGAAGAGAGTTGGTGGGGAGAAGGGGGCCCCCGATTTGGGGGAGGGTCTGATCTTGCCCAGCCACCAGTCCGGGTGTGGCGGGAGAGATTCGGGCAGAGGGAAAGCGCCCGGGCTGGGCAGGGCCAGGCGGGAGAAGGGGCAGGAAAGTTAGCGCAGCTTAGGAAAGTCCCTAAAATACCACGGGGAGGCGGGGCCGGAGGGGCGGGCCTGGAAATGACGCCACTGGCCACGCCCCGCGGCGGGAGGGGCGCCAGGTCGCGGCCGTCCGTGGGCACCGCGGCCGCGCTGCTGGCAAAGGGTCGTGCACACGCCGGGAAGCCCCCGTGGGGAGTGCCTGCCCTCTCGTCACCAAAGCAGGCCCGGGGACACCAGGGCCTGTCTGGGTTCGGGGAGACTCAGTGCGGGCCCAGCCCGTTTCCGCACCCTTCCCTCTGGTCCTGGAGCTACCTAGGGATTTTCTACCCCAAGGGAGGCCACGGCTGATTCACCCGGGGCTTTTGGGGGGACATTCCGGCTCTAAGAAGGTCTTCTCTCTTAAGGTCTGTAGGCGGAGTGTGGGAGGGGGGCGCTCTTCCCAGTGGGCGGCCCTGAGGTTCTGCCCGGAGACCGGGACTTGGAGCCAAGGAACCGGGAAGGAAAGTGTTTCTTTCCTGGATGGGCTCCTGCCTTGTCTCCCTGAAATATCTTTTTTTGTTTGTTTTTGGGCCACACCCGGCAGTGCTCAGGGCTTCGTCCTGGCTCTGCGCTCAGGGATCACTCCTGGAGGGGCTCGGAGGATCATATGGGATGTCGGGGACCGAAGCCAGCTCAGACTTGTGCCAAGGCATGCAGTCCCCCCCTCCTCTGCTGTACTGTCGCTCCAGCCTTTCCCTGAAATACCTTCAGGACCATTGCTTCCCACATGGCACCTGTCCGCAGGTGACGGATTGCCTTACGCCACAACCCATGGTCGTGTGTGATATGTGTATCACAGGTAAACACTAAGCTTTGGCGTGTGTGCAAGGTGTCTGCATGCAAGTCCATCTGAGCACGCCCATGGACTGGTGAGTGTCCTTAAAGTCGTGTGGATACGTCGAAGATGTGTTAGACGTGCTTAGTTAGGGCACGGTGAAAGTATCTGAGTTTCTGAGGCCCAGGCCCCTGTGCACGGGGGAGCCTGTTAGCGTGTTTGCATGTTTGTGTGCGTGCACGACGCTGTGCAGACGACGGCATGCAAGTCTTTGTACAAGTGTGCAGACATGTGTCGTGACCGTGGTGCTTGCTCTGTGTGTGTGTGTCTCTGTGTGTGTGTGTGTGTGTGTGAGCATGAGCATTTACACACGGGCCCTAGGTGTAAATGGGTCAGTTAATGGCCTCGCTTCTCGCCCGTTCCCGAGACCCGGCCACCCAGGGGCCTGCACCCGGCCACTCACCGCGGCGGCGGCTCTGCTTCCGGCTTCTCTCCCGGTCCGACCCTCCTCGGACCGGCCGCGACTCCTCTCTAGCCACGGAGGCTCCAACCGGGAAAGCCCCTTTTCCGCCCCTGGGAGGGGGGAATTCCCGTGACGTTTCTGTGCGTCACGCCCCTCGCCTCTTCCCATTGGCTGAAAGTTTGACTCCGAACTCGCGCAGCCAATCGCGGGCGAGTCGGGCGCGCCTCTTAAAGGGGAACGCGTCGAGTGTCCCCGCGCCCCCTTGCCTAAAGAGGGGTCTGGGCAGAGGCCCTTAGGCCGGGGCGCGTGACCGCTCACCGAGCGCCGTCCCCCGCTCTCGGAGCCTGTCCAGTCCCATTCCCGACGGCGGCGCCCCGGCAGCGCCCGGCGCCCAGCCACCTCCCAAGCCGGGGAAGCCCAGGGGCAAACTGGGGGGCCTCAGGGCTCCGGGCCGCTGCCGGGAAGGGGGTAAGAGGAAGGAAGCTGCGCTTGCGGTCGGCCCTGGGGCGCCACCTGGCGGGCCCGCGCGCCGCTCCGGCCCCGGCTCTCGGGTTCTTCCCGGCGAGGAAAGCGAGACCAGGGTTCTCTGGGACCCCGGGGGCAGGGAAGGTGTCTGATGAGACGCCGTTAGAACAGCCTCGAAGAAAGCGACGGGCCGAACTTTCCGGCGGGGACGGGGTCGCGGGATAAAGGGATGACCGTGCCGGGTTGACAGTGCTCGGAATCTTAGTCTGAAACGCCCGGAAGTCGTGAGGCGGTGGTGAGCAGTGAAAGTGAAAATGACACGCTCTTTCTCTGTTTGAGGGGATCCAGTCCGGTAGGTCGCTTGCAAGGTGAGTGGCCCCTGCCCTGTACTTTCTCTCCCGCCCACCCCGGACATGACAGGGTTTCAAAGAGCCACGTGTCCTGGGCACCCCCCCCCCCCCCCGCCCCAGTACTGGGGGAGGGAGGGAGGGGGGAGAAGAGTTCAATCTTCTTGCACGTGGCTGACCAGAGTTCAATCCTTGTTCCCCCATGATCCTACTAGGAAGGATCCCTGAGCTCAGAGCCAGGAGTAAATCCTGATCAGCAATGGGTGATGCAGGGAACCACAGCTGGAGAAAGCAGCAGAAGGTCCAGTCCGCATCCTGGACTGAGGCTATGGAGATGAGAAGCCAACCAAGGAAATGAAAAGGCTTGACCAGTGCTACGAGGACCAGGAAAAACCAGTGTTAGAAGCATAGTGAAGAATATTTCAAGAAGGAAGTGATGAATTTAAAAAAGTGTTGTTTTGGGGTCACTTCCAGAGATGTTCAGGGGTTACTCCAGGCACTGCACTCAGGACTCACTCCTGGTGGTGCTCAAGGGACCATATGGGATGCCCGGGATTGAAACTGGGTCAGTGGCGTGTAAAGCAAATGCTCTACCCACTGTACTCTCTCTCTCTCTCCAGCCCACAGAGAACCCTGAATAGTGTTAAAGGGTTCAGAGAGTCACTATTTCCCGTGGTACCCAGGGCTTACTCCTGGTTCACTCCTGACAGGGCTCAGGGCACCATATAGTGTCCTGGGGATCAAACCTGGGTTAGTTCTGCACAGAACAATTGCTCTGACCTCCTGTATTATCGTTCTGACCCCTCATTGGTCGTTAAAAAAGTAAAACAAAACCCCTACCTGGAATGCTGAAAGGAGTGTTCCACGTGGTACTGTGGTTTGCACTCAGGGTCTCACGTATGACCTATTTCCCTGGCACCTTTTATTTCTCAGGAAGTTCTTGAAGACGTGGGATGTGACTGAGTAGTATAGTGTGGACTCCACATGTGTGAGGCCTTAGGTTTGGTATCACACACCAAAAAAAGGAAGTGTGAGGGCCAGAACAATAGAGCAGAAGTGGGGTGTTAGTTTTGCACACGGCCTACCCGGGTTTGATTACTGGCACCCCATATGGTCCCCCGTGTACCACCAGGAGTAATTCCCGAGTGCAGACCCAGGAGTAGCCCCTGAGCACAACTGTGTCCTCAAACCTATCCTCTGTCACTGTCCTCCCGTTGTTCATCGATTTGCTCGAGCGGGCCCAGTAATGTCTCCATTTTGAGACTTGTTGTTATTGTGTTTGGCATATTGAATCTATCCTATCAAAAAAAAATGGCCAGAGATAGTATAGCAGGTAAGGAGCTCGCCGTGTAAGCAGTTGATTTAAATTCCATCCCTGGCACCACACATAGTCCTCTGACCACTACCAGGGATAACCCCAGAGCACAGAGCCGGAATATCACTCTTGAGCACTGCAGTGTGTGACCCACGAGCCAGAAAGTAAAAACAAAACAAAAACAAAAAAACAAACAAGTGGGACAGGAGAGATAGTACAGAGGGTAAGGCATTTGTCTAGCATGTGGCCGACCCAAGTCCAATCCCAAGCATCCCATATGGTCCCCCAAGTACCACCAAGAGTTAATTCCCGAGTGCAGAGCCAGGAATAAACCCTGAGCATCTACACTCAGAGAATTATTCCCCGCAGGACTCAGGGGACCAAGTAGTGCCTGGGTTTGTTGCAAGTGCCTTATCCCCAGTATTATCTCTCTAGCCCCTGCTGTTGTCTTCTAAGAGACAGAGACAGTGCTGTCCACAACCCAACTCATGTAGGTGTCAGGTGTCTTTTCGGTAAAGACTTCTACTTCTGGGAATATATCCCAAGGGTGCAAAGAAGCACAGTAGAAGTGACATATGCACCTGTATGTTTATTGCAGCACTGTTCACAATAGCCAGAATCTGGAAACATCCTGAGTGTCCAAGAACAGATGACCGGTTAAAGAAATTTTGGTACATCTGCACAATGGAATACTATACAGCTGCTAGGAAAGTGAAGTCATGAAATTTGCTTAGAGGTGGATGGTCATGGAGAGTATCATGCTAAGTGAAATGAGTCAGAAAGAGAGGGACAGACATAGAATGACTGCACTCATTTGTGGAATATAATAGAAGACTGACATCCAAGGCCAGTAGAGACACGGGCCAGGAATTTTGCTCCATAGTTGGAAGCCTGCCTCATGAGCTGGGGGAAAAGGCAGCTGGAATAGAGAAGGATCGCTAAGTTAATGATGGTTGGAGGGATTGTTTGGGATGGGAGATGTGTGCTGAAAATAGATAAAGAACCAACTGAGATAGCGTCTCAGTATCTGTATTGCAAACCATAATGTCCAAAAGTAGTATGGGGCAAATAGCCATAGAGGCAGGGGGAGGGTTGGGATGGGGGGATACTGGGGGCATGGAGGGATGGGTGTTTGATCATTGTATGACTGAAACTCAAACATCAAAGCTTTATATCACGATGATTCAATTAAAAAAAGAACGAGACTTCTGGTAAATGTTTTTTTTATTCCTCAGGGTCATCCCTGTGATCCCTTCTTTCCTAATATTTGTAGGCTGACACAGGGACACCAGGTCATCATATTCCTTTCTTTAGGGGCTGCTCCTCTTTGTAGCTGTTATTACTGTTTCCGCCCCGAGGCAAACATGGATGCTTCTAACAGTAGAGCTCATAGGGCTCAAATGAGTGAACAGAGACACAGCCGAAGCCCGGAGCCTTCCGTTTCACCTGCCTGTCATCCTGGCTCCTTTGCACTCGTGACTAGGAATGCAGCCATACTTCTAACTTCCCCAGCTTAGGTCGGGCCAAGCTTCTTAAGTATGTAGACCACGCACAAGGAACAGGAGGGACCAGGCCTCAGGTTAGTATCCTCCGCAGCAGGCTGTGCCCACTGCCCTCTGGTTCAACTTCTCTCGGATGCTGCCTTTGGAGCAGTGAGAAAGGAATCACCTCTATTTGACTGTGCAAGGCCCATGTCCCAGGGACCCAATAGCACAGAGCTCTGACCCACAAGCTCAAGAAGAAAAACAAAAGCAACGGAGGGGCTGGAGATATTCCAGCGGGGAAAGGACTTGTCTTGCACATGACTGACCTACAGGTTTTCAATCCCTGAATGTTGCTGGGTGTGGCCTAACCTCAACCCTCTCATGCAAAAGAAAACCAGCGTGGGAGGCAATGAAGTTGGTACTAAGACATTTATTACATCATAAAAAGTCCATTGTTGTCCTGTTTTTCCGTATGTACATACACCTCAGGCGGTCTGCCATCCAGCCCCTTCCCACCCTTCATGGTGCCAATCGATTCTCCAAACCGACCAACTAATTAATAATAGAGGAAGAACTGGCAGAGGTGGCCCCAGGCTGATGGGAGCGGGACGAAGAGGAAACAAAGTGCAGAGTGGGGAGGAGGGTGGGCACTGCAGGGGGCACGGCGAAGCCTCCCCAGAGCTGCCGGGCTGTGCAGGTGAAACCTGAGTGTTTTCAGGTTGTACCCCCAGGAATGGAGAGCAGAGGAGGAAGAGGGTTCTGCTGCCTGATTCTTGGCCCCAAGGAAGAGTAATGGTTCTCGTGTTCAGGTCCTTATTCAACTGGTAGCAACAGCAGCTCGGGCTGGGCATGGAGAGTTGGTGGCCCCCCGGGAAAGCTGGAAGGGGGCTTTGCTGAGGACAGCCGGCCTGGTAGGGGGCTCGGGTCCTGATCTCTGGTGGGTGTTAGTTGACCTCTGAGGTGGGCATGGGGTCTGTGGGGCGCGGAGTGGACAGGAGGGGCACTGGCGAGGTGGCCTCGATGAGCGCAGGGTTGAGGATGATGGGCAGCGTCATGGGTGGCACGCCCACCTGCAGAGGGGAGGCCAAGGGCTGCAGGATCAGGGGGGGCTGAGCCAGTGGGGGAGGCCCGTCTGGGCTAGGGCTCAGCCTACTGGGGCTCGAGGCCACGGGGGATCCGGGGGAGCTGCTGTTGGCAGGTCGGGGGGACTCGGTCTTCTCCAAGTCTGTAAGAGGACAAGGTGGCTCCAGTCAGACTCACAGTCCCCCCACAGGGCCCCCAAACCTCAGGCCTCCACTCCCGCGAGCAAAATGAAAATGATCCTCCCAGGCCAAGGAGCTGACGTCTCTTCTTAGAACACATTCAAGAGTCCATTACTCTCTATGTGTCCTATTCTTGCTTTGCTGGACCCCTAGTCGGGTTCCATTTTGGCCAGGTCTGACCAGACAACCTGAAGGCTGACCCCTGCATCTCTATTCCAAGCTCTTGCCGAGCCTTCTCTTGAGTCTAAACTCCCGTGCAGCCAGCTCACCAATGCCGACCGGCCCGCCATGGCCCACAAAGAGCAGGCACAGGACCTGGTTTGCTCGCTGGCCACCTGGGCCCCTGCTGAGGTCTGCTTCCCACCCACCTAAGCAGGCAAGCCCAGAGGGACTCACCTGAGGCCCCCAGCTCGGAGGGCGCCTCTGGTGGAGGCGGGTGGCTGGGCGTCCTGGGGTCACCCGCAGCAGGAGTCAGGTGGGCTGAGGCTGGAGGTTTCTGGGCATGAGGTTCCACAGGTGTGGGGTCTGGGGGAGGGCAGAGAGTCCAGAACACAGATCGTGGTGTGTTATTTCAAGCAGAGGCCTGGCTACCTAACTGGTCTTACCACTCACCTGAGCGCACAGGGAACTAATTAGCTCTAGACTCTTAAAATTTTTTAGTGGCTGCCCCCTGGTGTTTGGGGGACCAGAGTGTGACAAGGAATGGATGCGGGGCCTTTGAGCCATCTCCCTGGCCACTAGACTTTTCTCTTTGGAGGGGGACCATGCAGTGGCAGGGACTGAACCCGGGATTCCCACACGCACACACACACACCCCGGCCCTTTGGACACTCTCCGGCCCCCACACTCTTCCGATGAAGCTGGGGTGTGCACCCTACCCTGAATGACAGTCTGCTTGAAGAGCTCATCTCGGAGGTGAGGGAGAAAACAGTCAATCCTCTCCCAGGTGATCTCCCAGAGCGCGGACGGGCTGCCGCCTCGGGCCTCTGCGCTGTGGAAGATGGCTGCCGTGTCCATCACCAGCAGCATGTTCTTCAGAGACTCAGGGATGGCCTCTGACTGCAGGCAGCAGTGGGACCATGAGAATGGGGGAGGGGGCGGGCGGGGATGGCGAGGAGGAGGCAGCAGGTGGAGCTGAAGCAGAACGTACCAGTAAGTCACTGGAGCCTGCGTGCATGTACTTGTCCATGAAGTCCAGGATGGTCAGCCAGAGGGCAGCAAAGGTAGAGAGCGACAGCAGTGGAGACAGGTGCTGCAGGAAGACCTGTGGCCCGCCAGCCCCTTTCAGTCAAGGGTAGGGTGGGAGGAGTCACACTCCTCTCCTGCCCTCTCTTGGGTGGTAATCTCAGAGATCTCTCTGAGTTCCAGAAAGTTCCCAGGGCCCTAGAGCCTGCTGAGTTTCTATAGCTGGGGGTCCTGCGCACTAACAGTATTGCTTCGGTAGATTCTACCAGAAAACTTCCTTCTCTGCAGAGAGACAAGGGTGTGGCTGGGTGGGCGGGCGCGGTGGTGAGAGTACCTTAGAGAGCAGCGTGGAAGCCCTCATCCGGGTCTCCTCCATCCCGCCCACGTCTGCAGGGCTGATGTTCTCCAGGAGCTTGGTCAGCAGGGGAAAGAGCACCTGGGGGGTGAAAGCCAACACCTCCCTAGCAAGAGCTGGTAGCCAGGGGCTGGCATGGAGTGACGCAGAGCCAGAGGAACGGCAGAGGCTGAGGAGTGACACGAGGGGCTGCCCAGGGCCGGCAGGCGTCCTACCTTGTTAAAGCAGGACTCCCATTCCAGGGCGTCGAGCTTCTGCAGATCATGGACCAGCAGCGCTCGCTGCAGGTAGGTGAGCGCCTGCATCCGCACCTGGCGCCGGGCATCACAGCACAGGCAGGCAATGCCTGAGAGTGAAAGCAGGCTCAGCATCTTCCCGGCACCTCGAGCTCCAGCGCCACCTCAGCCCCTGCCTGCCCAGCCGCCTCCCCGGAGGTTTACCCTGCAGTAAAGGGCACCAGCAGTGGGCCCAGAGGGTGCGTGAATCCGCCTCAATCTTCCGGCCGCCGGTCTCCAGGTGGCGCTGCTCCGCTGCCCAGGAGCTGTAGATGGAGGCCGCCCGCGTGTGCAGGGTGTGCATCAGATCCAGCAGCTGCCGCACAGGGGCGGAACAGGAAGGGATTAGCTGTGGTGCAGACCCAGTCCCACACACACTCCCTCCCCCTCCCCTCTCTTCCCTTCCCCAACCCCTCCCCTTCCCCCTCCTCCCCCTTCCTCCCTCCTCCCTCTCCTCCTCCCACTCCCCATCTCCCTCTGTCCCTGACTGAGTCCTCAAGGGAGCACCTAGAGCCAACCCCGCCAGGCCCCCTCCTGCCCCAGTCTCATGCTCCAATCCCGTTGGTCGGAGTTGGGTTTTTCTCTAACAGAGCAGATTTGAGGAGGATGTGAACTCGACTTAATACTGAGTAACGCTATGAGAAATGCTTTCTCCGCAATTCTTTCAAATCTTCTGATGAAAGTCTTGTTAATCTAATTTTAAAAACAAAGCAAACTTCAGCTTAGAAGCTCTGATGAGCAGTAGTGTCTCACCACATTTAATATTTCTTCTTTTTGCTGTTTTTCTAAGGTTAGTCTATGGAGGCAATTAGTTTTCCAGTTTTCTAGTGATATGAAGTCTGCTGACAAAACACATCTCCTCTCCCTTGAATAGACACAGAATGACTGGGAGAACAGGCAGGAAATAGGTGGCAGTGGTTGCTTCTGGTGAGGGGAACTTAGTGATTAGGGACAGGAATGGAAGAGAACTTACTTTGATCTGTTTACCCTTTTGTACCTTTTGAACTTTGTACCATGTGCATACATTACCTATTCAAAAAAATAAATAGACCTTAAAATTCAAGCAAACAAAAGACTTACAGGTCCAGGGATCACTGCAGAGATAGTGCCTGAGGGCCTGGACTGGACCGCAGGGACCCTCCCTCTGGGTTCTGGCTATCCCTAGCCCTGGCCACATTCCCAAAGCCAAGTTCAGGGCGAGGAAGTAGTAAAGGGTGCCATACTTACGTCCTGACTGACCTGTAAAGACACCGTGTGGTAGCTGGCAGGCACGCCTTCATCCTCATCATCGTCACTATGCCCGCCCCGGGTGGCATGCTGGCTGGAGGTTCGAGGCCGCCGAAGCATCGAGCCTTCCTTGGATTTCTTCTTGAAGCGGTTTCCTTTGCTGTCATACTTGTGGCTCTTCCCACGTTTCTCCTGGGACTTGCACCCTGAGCAGAACCAGAAGGCAGCTCTCATTGCCAAGCGAGAGGGCACAGATGGCCCGCCCATTCCTCCCTCTTCCCTCTCCCCGACTCATTCACATGGTTACTTCCCAACGGCTCGCCTCGGGTGACCCACCACCATTCAGACTGGCCTCCACAAAGATGCGCAGAGTTTTGACGCAGAGCTCAAAGTTGTCGGGCGTGATATGGGCGGCGTCGCGCACGATGAAGGACAGTGACTCCACGCACTTAAGCAGGGATTTAGTGTCATGTGGTCCAAGGTCCAGCCCCACAGTCAGACTGTACTGATTGACCAGTGGTGAAGAGGAGCTTGGCCGGCTGGGCCCAGGCCCGGGCTTGGAGTTATCAATGTCGTCTTTCCCTACCTGTAATATACAAGAAGAGCTGAGAATCCATGTTTGCTCCCCCTGCTCCCAAAATAATCTCCCAGAGGGCCAGAAAGCTTCCCACAGGTGGGGGAGGGAAGACTCAGCCACTGCCCACATGCTCACTCACCACTAACCACCCGCTGTTGACCACATCAGCATCTGTGGCTGAGCGATGGATCTTGCCGGGCCTGCCATGGTCAGTGTAGACCTCGGAGTCGGAAGTGTAGCCCCGATCCAGGACCACATCGTTTTGATGGTAGGAAGGAAGCTCACTGTCTGACTGGGCCCCTAGACCAGCAGGGAGGGCAATCAGTATGAGGTTGGGGACTCTGGGATACGACAACTTTGGTCACAGAAGAGAAGTGCTGGGGTCTGGCCTCTCCTCTCTCTCAGTGTGACTTAGTTTTAGCCCTGTCCAAAGGGAGGTGACGGATGGGGCAGGCAGCTTCTCCCTGAACCAAATAGGGCAGCAGGCTAATTTGGGCTCCTGATGGCATGAAGGAGCAGCTGTCTATGGAGGGTGTGGAGGCAAGCACAGTTTCTGGGAACTAATACTCTTTTCCGCTGTCTACTTGCCTTTTTTGGCTTTGGGGCCACACCCAGTAGTGTGCAGGGGTTATTCCTGGCTCTGTGCTCAGGGGTCATTTCTGGTGGCACTCAGTGGACCGTATGCAGTGCTACTGATTGAACCTGGGTTGGCTGCTAGCAAGGCAAATGCTGAACCTCTTGTACTACCTCAATGGCCCTTATTTTGCTGTGTAACAAGTGTACTGGGGAGAGGCCAGTAGGCATGGAAAGATCTGGAAGCAGACAGCGGAAGCAAGGGGCACTTGGAATGTAATAACCTGCACTATTTTTCACTTCAACCCGTGAGACCCTAATTGTTTACAGCTAGTGTGGGCTCCCTGGTAGACGTGGGCTTCCTTACCAGCGTCAGGCGCATCGGCTCTGGCTGTGGCCTGCAGGGCTGCGGGGGGCTTCACGCCTGAGCCGATGCACTCCAGCAGTGTGAAGAGGGTGGCCCAGTCGTCCCCCGAGTGGATGTTGGCTGCGTTGGTCTTGAGGAGTTCATGGAGCCCGTAGGCTACCTGGTGACTGGCGCGGGACAGCACACTGGGCTTCATCAGTAGCAAAATACGAAGGGAGAGCAGTACCTAGGGTGGGTGTGAAGCAGGAAACAGGAAGTGGGCACACAGCGTCTTGCCTAGAATGCTCCCCGCCAGTCTCCTTAGCCCAGTGAGAAAGTTTGGCTGGACTCAGGCTAAGGCAGTGCCAAGGGGTTTCTCTCTTCTGCTGGGGACAGGCCTGCTCAGGGACTTGGGAGACCATGTGGTATGGTGGTGGGGATGGATGGGGGGCTCCCATGTGCAAAGCACGTGCTCTGACACCCTCTGATCTCTCTAGTCCCTTTTTTTTTTTTTGCCATACCCAGTGGTTCTCAGGGGTTACTCCTGGCTCTGCGCTCAGGAATTACTATTAGCAGTGCTCGGGGGACCATCTGGAATGCCGGAGATTGAATCCAGGTTGGCTATGAGCAAGGCAGACACCCTACCTGCTGAGCTATCTCTCTGGTCTCTTCATTTTGTTTTCAGTTTTGTTTGAAGCCACGCCTGGCAGTGGTCAGGGGACATGCAGTGCTGGGGCTGAACCTGGACTTCCCATGAGCTCCACCCTCCAAACTATTTCCCCGGGCGCCCTTTTTTCAGGGGCTGCTCCTGGCAGTGTGTGTAGGCCACCAGGGCCACGTGTAGCAGCGTGAGGGGGGCAAAGAGTATGGGGGACTGAACTTAGGGCCTGGCATGTACTGGGCCTGTGCTCGCCACCTCGGCTCTCTCTCCACCCGCTCCCGCGTTTTCTCAGTTGAAATTCTGGAGGTAATTACTGACTCAGAGGGCAGATGTAGGAGGGCCAGAGAGATCTGAGGGAAAGCGCGGGCACAGCATGGACGAACTGAGTTCACTGTTCGATAACCCCACAGGCCTGAGTACTGACAGGAGTGGCCCTACTAACAACAAAACATATGCGGCTGTAGGAAATAATAAAGAGATGTCTTATGTACTTTGCCCAGTTTACCCCAATGGTCTCACAGTATGCAAAACTGTAGTTTAACTAGAATAGCAACAGTGATCCAAGCCCTGGTCTTATTCAGATGTCCTCCATTTAACTTGGACTCGTGTGCAAGTAGTGTATCTACACTAAGCTCTCCACAATTTAATCACTTGTAGTGTGTGTGTCCACCATTAGTGAATACACTAAACACTTCCAACACAGGATGCCTCATATTGTCCTTTTGTAACCACACCCACCCACCCATCCTTCCCGTTCAACCCTCACCTTGCAACCTATCCTCGACTTCTAACTGGTGCTGTTGCAGGGGTGGAGAGAGAGCACAGCAGGTACCTTGCACTGCATGCAGGCAACCCATGTTCAATACTTAGCACCACACAGGGTCCTCTGAATACTGCCCAGAGTGACCCCTAAATACAAAGCTAGGAGAAAACCTTTTGTATTGCCAGGTGCCAGACCTGGCAATACTCAAGGTTTATAACAAAAAAAATTGCTGTTTCAAAAATGTTCCATTATGGGGCCAGAGCCATAGTACAATAGGCACCACAGGTTGCCCTGCATACAGCTGACCTGGATTCAATCCCACACATTACATATGGTCCCAGAGCACCACCAGGAATAATTTTTGAATGCAGAGCCCAGAGTAACCCCAGAGAATGACTAGGTGTGATCCAATGACCACCCCTCCCCCCAAAAAACTAAAAAAAAAAAAAACAACAACAACAACAAAATACTTCAAATAAAAAAATGTTACATTAGTGGAATTATGTAGTATATAATCTTTTGATACTGAATTTTTCTTCTTTTGGGGGGTTTTGGGCTAAGCCTGGCTGCATTCAGAACCAGGCTGATGGAAGCTCATGGGATATATGTGGTGTGGGGATCAAACCAGTATCCACTGCATGCAAGGTAAGCACCTTACTCACTGTACAATCTCTCAGGCCCCAGGGGACTGCCTTTTTATATTCATCATAATATCTTGGAAAGTCATCCAAGTTGTCGCACATTTCAATGGTGTGTTATTTTTACTTATTAAAAATATTTGGGGAGCTGGAATGATAATACAGTGGGTAGGGCGTTTGCCTTGCATGTGGCTGACCCAGATCCGATCCCTGGCATCCCATATAGTCCCCAAACACTGCCAGGAGTAATTCCTGAGTGCAGAGCCAGGAGTAACCGCTGAGCATTGCCAGGTGTGATTCAAAAAGCCAAAAAACATTTTTTTTTGGTGCCAGGTGTCAAATCCAGAGTTCTTGGGGCCAGAGAAATAGTGCAGCGGTGGGGCCAGAGTGATACTACAGTGGGCAGGGCATTCCCTTGCACGTGGCCAACCTGGGTTGAATCCTAGACATTCCATATGGTGCCAAGCACTGTGAGGAGTGATTCCTGAGCACGGCTGGGTATGATGCAAAAAAAAGAAAAAAAAATTCGTGCAGTGGGTAAGGTGCTTTTGCTTTTGTTTTGCTTGCGACAACCTGGGTTCAATCCCTGGCACTAAATATGGTCTCCCAATCACCCCAGGAGTGATCCCTGAGCACAGAGCTAGAAGTAAGCCCTAAGTAACAATGGGAGTGCCTCAAAAATCAACCCCAGGATCTTATATATGTAGAGCATGTAGTTTTTCATGAAGCTCAGGGCTCCCTCCCAGCAGTGCCTTATCTGCAATACTATCTCTCTAGCCCCTGGGGTCTTGGATTTCTTTCATCAGAAATTTATAATTTTCAGCATGCATATCCTAAAATATTTTCTTAGGTATATAAATATTTTATCTGGGGTACTTATTATCTGTATTGTGTTTTTGGTTTCATTGTCTACTGGTCATTGTTAGTATATAGAAATGTAGTTAGGTCCTCAAGAGAAAGTACAGCAGGTAGGGCAATTGCCTTGTACATGGCTAACCCGGGTTTGATCCCTTGTACTTCAGATGGTTCCCATCTGTAATTCCTGAGTATACACCATGCACCACCCTTCACCTTCCACAACAAAACAAAACAAAACATCTGCCAGAAATGTAACTATTCAACTTTTATCCTGTAGCCTTGAAGAAACCCTGTATTAGTTTTTTTGCTGATTGTCTTTTATTTGTATTTTGGGGCCACACCTGGCTGTGCTCCAGGCTTACTCCTGGCTCTGTGTTCAGGGATCACTCTTGGGCGGGCTTGGGGGACCACATGTGATACCAGGATTGAATCTGGGTTGGCTGTGGGAAGCAAGCACCCTATCCTCTGTACAATCACTCTGGTTCCTTTTGACTGTCTTTTAGAGTAGGGCCCAAAACATCTACGAGATCCTAAGCACAGAAGCCAGAAAACCAGGTACAGGACCTCAACAGTGTCATACAAGCCTGCAGAGGAACTAAGCACTGGCTTCATACTTGACACCATTCCAAAATGCCCCACAGTGCTGTTTAACCCTACCAGCCGGCTCACAAAAATGCAATCTGTTTTAGGCTGTATCCATAAATGACCTAGTGGCTTCAATCTCCCGCATCCCTTCTTCCTGCCTTCCCAGTTGCATCCTGCTTACCTGGCCACTGATCTCTTCTCTCCGGAGCAGTCGAATGGCCAAGCGCAGCAGCCCTACTACTGCCCGCTCCACAAGAAAGCAGAAATCCTGTGCCTGGACACACAAGTGGTAGAGATGGTCTCGAACAGTCTGCCACACACAGCCTACACGATCCCTGAGGAAACACAAGGGAGGAAGCCGGTCTTAGCTGGAGAGTCCCGGACAGTCAGCCTCTCTTTCTGTGTCAGGTTAGACCTGTTTCAATTCACTGAAAGTGGAACCTCAGCAGACAGGCAATGAGGAAGTTTCTCCTCCACTCGCTGAGCCTCCTGCCCTTCTTGCATCCAGTCCTGCTCAGCAAGCTGATTCCGGGCTCCCATTCCGTTGGCACAGTCCTTGCGTGAGGCCCACTCCAAGACTGCCTTTACCTGTTCTCCAGCACAATCCTCAGCAGCATCTCCAGGCAGAAAGCAGCATCTTCCTCGTCATATGTTTCTTCATCTGGCGTTACGGACACCAAAGCCTGGAAATGGAGAACAGAAGGAAAGGAGGCATGAAGGAGAGACTAGTCCCTGGCTCTGTGCTGAGGGAAACTGAGGCATACCCACTCATGCTGACCCCCTGCTATTCCATCCCTTTCCTCTTCATTCTTTACCTTCATGAGCTCTTGCAGTGACTCCAGCTGGAGGAACTTGCTTTCCGTGATCATCTTTTCGGGGTCACATTGCTAGAACGGATACAAGAAAGAGGGGGACAGTGACAAGGGCCAGAAGGAAGAGAATGTCCCAAGAGCCAGGGAGCGAGGGCAGGAGTGAGCTGTGGTCACAAATCTTAGATGGTTGTAGTTTTCAGTCCGTCTGTCCAGGAGGGAGGGACTGCGCTTGTTCACCAGGACAGGCAGTTACCTTGATACAGTCCAAGGCTATTTTCTTGGCCTCCTGGGTCTCAGTGGATGGGCCCCGCACACTAGACTGCTCAGTACCACTTAGTGTTAGCCAGCTCACAAAGCTCAATACTGTTGATTCTCCTCTGTAGAAAAACAGTATAAGTCCTGGTGAGCCCCAAAGTTTTTCTGTTTTGTTTTTTCCTTGTTTTGTGGACCATAGACCCGGTGATGCTCAGGGGTTACTCTTGGCTCTGCACTCAGGAATTACTCCTGGAGGTGCTCAAGGGGACCATATGGAATGCCAGGGATGGAACCTGTGACAGCCGTGTGCAAGTGCTTTATCGCTGTACTATTGCTCTGGCCCCAAGTTCCAAAGTTTTGATCCTCCCTCCCTCCTCCCTCCCTCTACCTCTCGTCTATCCTTACCGGTTAGATGGTGTCTCCTCACGTTGTAGAAAGATCTTGCCATTGGGATCCACAAAATCTTCAACCTGGATAAGATCAAGAAGCAATAACTTCTTTCCATATGCACTTTGCACTTCCTTATCTTCCGCACAAAATTCTTGCTGTCTTCCTGTTGCTCTCTACCCTAACACGATTGATTGGGCCTCCCCTAATTGATGAATGATGATTATTTCTACCAGTCTTTTTTCACAGCTGCCCACCTCATCCATGTCTGTGGTGGTCTATCTGAGGCACTCCTTGTAAGTTTCACTTGTAAGTGCTGCTCTCAATCAGTTCTATCTATATCGGCAGCACAGAATCTTGGAGCTCTCTCCCTCTTGTTGTTCAGTCTCCTCCCAAGAATTACCTCCACCATAGCCTTGGGCAGCAGCTGGGCTCGGAAGAGTTGTAGCATGGCTTCCATGATATTCTTCCAGCCCTCACGCAAGATGTCACCATGACGATGGGCCAAATGGAAAACAGTCTTGGCTGCAATGTGGGCTTTAGGGTTGCTTCCAAACACACTGGGAAGATTCTCAATAGACTGGGAATGATAAGAAGAGGTTTAGTGGGAAGTTAAGACAAGGTCAAACGCGGGCTATCTACAGCCTGAGATGGTTTTCTGGATGAATTGTCTCTTCAAGACTTTTGTCAAAGACATAAGAAAAAGCAGCAAAGTGGCAACAGGCCTGGCATATGATGAGAAAAAGAAATCTTCATGTCTCTACTTATCCTCCTGTTAAATTGGCTTTGATTCTCTAGATTTTTATTGAAGGGTGAATCTGATTAGGACCTTCCCCACTAATTCTTCTTCTCTCCCATTACTGTTACATAACAACCTACTATTCTCCTCCTAGGGTGTACAAGATAGAAATGGCCTAAATAAAGCTCAAGCAGTCATATGCGGTGAGGAAGATGGTAAGGGGACCAGACTGCAGAGAAGGGTAGATCTGTGGCTAACAGAAAGGTCCTATTTTTGAACTCGAAGTTCATGGTCCCTGTCCCAGCTTACCTCACTGCTGAGAGCTGTGAATTTGCACAAGGAGATGATGAGATTGTCAAACACATCGCTGAGGCCGTAGTGGGCAGAGATCATGGCACACTTCCTGAAATGGCACCCCACACCCCACAGAAAGTCAGAAGGCACGACAGCCTTCAAGTCTCTGAGGAGACAGGTCTGGGATTCTTCCATCATTAGCTCCAGGATGAAACATTTTTCTGTTGAATATATTTTGGTTTTGGGGCCACATCTGCCAGTACTCAGGGTTTAGTCATGGCTCTGTGCTTAAGGACCCACTCCTGGTGGGACTCGGGGGACCATATAGGGTGCTGGGGTCAAAACTAGGCAAGGCAAGCATCCTGCCCACTGTATTATCTCTTCTGACCCTCTTTTTTTTTTCCTTTTTGGGTCACACCTGGCGATGCTCAGGGGTCACTTCTGGTTCTGCACTCAGGAATCATTCCTGGCGGTGCTCAGGGGACCGTATGGGATGCTGGGAATTGAACCCGGGTTGGCCATATGCAAGGCAAACTCCCTACCCACTGTGCTATCACTCCAGCCCTCTTCTGACCCTCTTTTGAGAAGTTTAAGACTAAGCTCTACCAAGCTTTAGCCTCCCTCACTCCCTTCTCACGGAGGCAATATGTCAGCTCAGAGAAGTAGGAGGAAGTTAAGACCAAGGTCAAACATGAGCTACCTGAAGCCTGAGATGGCTTTCTGGATGATTGTCTCTTCAAGACTTTTGTCAAAGACATAAGAAAGAGCAGCAATAGTAGGGCCCCAGGTCATGGTGAAGAGGTCAAGATCGTAGCTTCCAGCAGGTACACGCAGGAATATGCCCTCTGGAGTGGCACCTCGATGAAGCAACACATTCCACACGTAATTCTCCCGTACCCAGCCTGTCTGCTCCTCAGGCATCACAATTTCCTCATTCCTGTCAGGAGGGAGGGAAGGAGTAGGTGCAGGACGTGAACTCAACAAAGAACTTTACCACACTGGCCACCCTTTCCTTAAGAATGAGTTCATCCATCAGTAGGAGGTACCCAAAATGCAGCCAGTGGTCTGCTTCCCAACCCCACCGGGCCATCTCAAAGTCCTGTCATTAAGCGGGGCCTTTCGTTCTACAGAAATATCCCATTCTTTCTGGGTATGAAAGAATAAACTCTTCTATCTTTTCTGATTTACAGTAAAGAATGAAGTGTCCCATCTTTTGAGTTCTGACTCAAGTGTCAGCCTGCAGCACCCTGTTGGGTTACTAGTCCCAAAATGCATCTTGTGAACTAGACAGCAGAATACAGCTGCTCTGGGTCTGAGGAATGAGGGATGACTGCAGCAGGGGCAGTGGGACCCTGGGTAGAGTACTAGAGTACTACAGATTTGTTTCAGCTGTCCCCCACCCCTGCGGTGCCAGGAATAGAGCCCAGATCTCATGTATGCAGGGTATGTGCTTTACTGCTGAGCTATACCCCCCAGCCCTGTTCAGGCTTCTTTAAGGAAGAAACCATCTGGGACAGAGGGGCTATCTAGCTATGTTCAGAGCATGAGTTGTTGCAGTTGGATGCAACCCTAATGCTGGAAAAATTGTATGCAAATCCTTAAGAGAGATGCGACAACACTCTCCACATACTCACTTGATGGCGTTGTACATGTCTTCCAGGATGTCTTGTTCAAAGTCTTTGCCTCCATTCACACCTTTCAGGTTTTTGCGAAACTCCTAGAGGCAGACCAATCAATTTCCTCTCCCTCTACCATGGTCGGTGCTAAAGCCCCACCCAAGGAATGCCTGGATTGTGCTAAATAGGAGCTCGGAAACAGAAAATGAGAGGACGCACCTCCTCACCCCAGTTCCCCTTCTGGATTGGCCAGTCCTCCCTAATTCCCCTGGACAGAAAAGTGTCCATGTGTCCACTGGAAATCTCAGGTCCTTCCAGCTACCTTCAAAGTCGTGCTGGAGGCACATATGCTGCCCGAGCACATGTGTTGCTGCACCACCCCTCTTGAGATGTGTAGCTTCATGCTTTCCTGTCTAATGCTGAGAAGTGTGCAGGGTCTCTATCTTTGAGAAGCCCGCGTGCATTACTCTCTCCTCCCCCTTCCTAAAAACCTCCAAATAAAATCTGTTTTACTTAAAACCAAAACCTAAACAAACAAAAATCCCAAAGCTGTGCTGGGTTGCCTCTGCCATGGCTTACCTCAAGGGTCATGGGCACATTCTGTTTGCGAACGTTGTGGTTATGCTGGTCAGTGTTAAGCAAGATGACGGCATAGGCCAGGGCAAAGCAGGCATCGCTATTGGCAAATGGGGAGCCGTTACAATTCTGAAAAAGCAAAGACCCCACCTGAGTCAATGCCCTTTTCTGGCCAGTTAGACCCTTACTACCAATCCACTGATCAAGCTCGGACAGAGTGGAGATGCCAGCAACCAGGTAGCCAACCTCTTGCCAAGTCCTTAAGGGAAGACGGCTTCTCTAAGGAACACTCACTGAAGTGCCCCGTTGTTCTCAGCCTCCTTAGGAGGCAGCAAGGTCCTTTGGGGCCACAGAAGCCCTAAAATTAACCTGGGATGGTGAGAGCCCCGGCCACTCTACTCACCCTCCAATGCTCTGTGAACACTTCCAGCAGCCTCTGGATGACTGGTGCTTCCCCAGGTAAGCGAAAAGCTTCTAGGTAGAGGCGCAGGGCTTCATCCAACCGCAGGCCCTGAAAACTGAAGGTGCTGTGGAGGAGGAAGAACAAAGGTTGATGAAGATGTGTAAGCTGGACATGCTGAGCTATTTTCTTTTTTTTTTTTGCTTCTTGGGTCACACCCAGCGATGCACAGGGGTTACTCCTGGCTTTGCACTCAGGAATTACTCCTGGCAGTGCTCGGGACCCTATGCGATGCTGGGCATCGAACCCGGGTCAGCCGCGTGCAAGGCAAATGCCCTACCCGCTGTGCTACTGCTCCAGCCTATGCTGGGCTCTCTGTTAGTTACAGTGTCCCCGAGCTTTTCATGCTTAACACAGACTTTACATCTCCTTAGTACTTTCCCCTTTCTCTAAGTAAAAAAGTTTATTTGAGAAATAAGGGAATGAGAGACAGAGAGATAAGCGCTCAAGAGAGAACACAGACTTCTCCACAGTGGCAAGCACCTTCATACTCTTCACACTGGGGCATTCTGACTCAGCGTGCACCCTCAGCCCCTGGAATCTAGGATCCACTGAGCAGTGACTTCCTTACCTCACAAAGCTGTCCAACAGGTCAATGTTTTTACGATCACTCACAAACTCGCCAATCATTTTCTTGTCCAGCCGAGGGTTCTCTCGGAGCCACTGGGCTACCTCTGCATTGTCCATCGGGATGGCGAGCAGGCCTTTCTCCTGAAGAAACTGGATTCCTTTCCTTGGTTTCTGGTTGAACTGCTCTGTGCCAGTGATCAGTAGCTGGAGGAGAAACAGCAGGTTTCAGGTCAGAAACTTCCCTATCCATAAACCAAACAAAGCCAAGCTAGAATCCCTCACGGCCAATAGGTGGGCACTTAGGCTCCTAGGATGTTGTTCCTAACTCATCCCAGAACGAGAACTGGGTCATGCTGGCTTTAGCTTTTCCCAGTCTTCTTGACTAGTCTGAATTGGCTGAGGAGCTCCTTTTCATCCTCTTCTGGGTGCTCAAGATGCAATAGGACTTTCTCCAACAAGTTGAAAATTAGAAAAAAAAAAGTTGAAAAGAAATTAGCAAGATATTTTTCCCTTTTGTTCTATTTTACATCTTTGACATCTCTTTACAGCCAAGCCTAGCTTGGATTATCCTTCTTTCTTTGGTTTCCTAATTCAGTATCCCGAGGTTTGAAGGAAAAAGAACAAGATAACTCAACTCTCTGTCTACTCACAGCTCTGCAACCAAGAGCTCATATGAACCGGTTATTTAGGCTGAGAACAAGAGGAAGAAAGGGTTGAAGAGCAAAGGGTTGAAGATGTTCTCTGTTTAAGAAAGCCAGAAAGGGCCTAGAGATGTGACTCAAGTGATACAGCACATGCCTAGCATGTCTGAGGCCCTAAGTTCAATCTCCGGTACCACATGGACCCTGAGCATTGCTGGCGTTGAAACTAAACTTTCAGGCCTATATTACAGAACCGAGTACTGCCGGGAGAGACCCCGGGCTCCCAAAGTATGTCTGAGTGTGTCTCCTATTTAAGGGGCGGGGTTGGGGAAAGGCAAGCGAAGAAGCAGTTATTTAAGCTTTACCAGATAAAGTACCAGAAAAAGTGGCAGCTTCCTTTTACTGCACTCATCCCCCCTAGCCAGAGATGACAAATAACCGTCAGTGACTCACATGATACTCCTAGGGCTCTTGTCCCCACCAGACCTCTTGGTCTCAGTCAGGCAGTATCTCCCGAGAGCTATGCCTTACATGGCTTAGAAGCAGGAGACTGGAGGGTTGCTGAAGTCCCAGGAGGCCCGACTAGCCTTAGGAAGCTGCCCACTGAGGTGACAGTTTCTCCCTCTTTCTCTAGGACAGAGACGCTAGTAAGGACACCCAGATAGTGGTGGGCGGAAACTGAACTCTGGGGATATCTACATGTACCTTCTTTTTGTTTTTAATCTCAATCAGTTCCCGTGGATCTGGTAGGAGGCAGGAAAATCGAAGTGGCTTCCGGGTAAACTTTTTGTCAGCTAGGAACAGGAGGAAGAAAGGGAAAAAATCCGTAAGACCTCTTTTACCATGATGTGACTTTTGGAAGGTTGCTGATACACTGTCTAGCGAAGATGCCCCAGAAATTTCCTTGTTCTCATCAATCTTCCACTTCTCTTCCCATCAATCTTCTACTTCTTCTTTTGTGTATGTGTGTGTGTGTGTGTGTGTGTGTGTGTGTATGTGTTGTGTGTGTGTTTTGGGGCCATACTTGGTGATGCTCAGCAGTTACCCCTGGTTCTGCTCTCAGGAATTACTCCTGGCTGTACTCGAGGAACCACATGGGATACCGGGGATTGAACCTGTGTTGGCTGCATACAAGGCAAATGTCCTACCCACTGTACTATCTTTCCAGCCCCTCTGCCACTTCCTTAGAAGACCTAGGTTCCAGCGATCCAACTGGCCTCTTGCCTCCCTCTGAGTTCGAGGCACGGTGATCAGCCAGGGCTCTCTCAAGCACTGCCGTAGAGTATCAGTGTTGCCTTCCCCTCTGCTCTTCACCAAGCCCTCCAGTTGTTGGGACTATGGTCAAGAGGACCAAAAACCCACCTCCAGACTCTCCAGCTTCCTCCAGATCACTGCATCCTGGCTTCCCATGATCTGCTGGCTGCCACCCTCCACCTGGCAGATGCAGGCCTGGGGCGTCAGGTGCCATGCTCGCAGCTTTCCCATCACTGGCTATTCTCTCGGCTGGGAAAAGAAAAGAAGATAAGCACATGAAGACTTAAGAAGGTAAAGGAAGGCAAAGAGATTTAAGGAAGTAGAGCTATGGGAGAAGTCAAATCAAGCAGACCCACACGCTAGACCCAGGCTGCCAGCACTGGACAAACCCAAGCCCCAGCAAGGGTTTTTTGTCCAGTCAGTCAAATTAGAGTCTATAATGGAACAAAGCGATTACCCGTTTCCCCTCATCTTTTGAAACCTCAGTCAAGGAAGAAAGAGAAGATTAGAGTGGGAAGCAGACACTGTGGGTGGGTAAAAGCAGGGTATGGAGTTTTTAAGAAAAGAAGTCCTATACCCTTTATAAATATTTCTTTTGGGTCACACCCATAAGGGCTGATGGATCATGCAATGCCATGAAACAAATCCAGGCTTCTCCCATGCAAAGTCTGCTGAAGCTTCAGTTCTTTGAACTATTTCTCTAATCTAATCCCTGTTCTCTCCCCCCCCCCATAAAAATAATTCTATTAAAATAATTCTATAAAAAATTACACGAAGGAATAAAAAGGGAGTAATCTATGAGTTCTGCTAACCTCCCGCCTCGCCTATGATTCAAACCACCACAATTTGGAAACACAGAACTGGGAGTGTCCCGGAGAAAAGATGCAGAGCAAGAGAAAGGGGTAGAAAGGGTCAAGTATAGAGCTCTGGGACCCTCAAAGAAAGAAATGTCTCTCACAACTGCTGACTTCTCGGGAGCCTTCTACTGCATCATAGCTGGGTCTGGCTGACTCTTTCTTCTCCTGCTGGCTAAGGTTACTGAGGACTTTGGCCTGGCAATGGCCCTCAGTGCTATCAATCACCGTCAACAGAGCATCCAGGGATAGTAGGTGTGTTGTATAGAGCTGACCAGACACAGGGAAGGCATTCTGGAAAGTGAAAAGATCCAGGAGGTTAGAATATTTTATACTTTAAACTTTCTGAGTTTAAATTCTGAATTTTGTAACTTCACATTGGCCCAAGAAAATGTCTTCTTCCTATTTCCCTCTGTGATGCAGTATCCTCGCTATTGCTAGAGACTTCCTTAATAAAGTTTTTCTCTACAGGCAGTTGAGAACTTAGTACCTTGGACAGCAGCTTGGTAAGCTCTTCAAAGAGGTTGGAACAGTAGTAGTCACAATCATAATTGATGTAAAGCTCAGTGACAAAACTGGGAATATGCCAGAGCTGCACAATGGCCTCCAGCGCCATCTCCTTCATCTCATAAGGCATCTTGGGGTTTTCCACAGTGATGATCTCCATGAGTTTTTTGATGTACATCTGGCAATAAAATAGTAATTGTCATTTGGGTGAGGAAAGGACTCAAGAGTGTGTTATGACGTACTTAAGTTTGTATCCTCAGACAGTCAAGATTGATGGCAGAGGAACAGAGACAAGATGGCCAGATTCAGTAGAAACTTGATTTTTTTTTTTTTTTTTTTGCTTTTTGGGTCACACCCGGCGATGCTCAGGGGTTACTCCTGGCTCATGCACTCAGGAATCACTCCTGGCGGTGCTCGGGGGACCATATGGGATGCTGGGAGTCGAACCTGGGTCGGCCATGTTGGCTGCGTGCAAGACAAACGCCCTACCCGCTGTGCTATCGCTCCAGCCCCCAGAAACTTGATTTAAAGAAAGGAAGAGAACGTAGGGAAGCTGTGGTACAAGTTACTCATGAGATACCCTTAATTAGGGTGCCTGGGAAAGATGAAAAACCTTTTCTTATATATCTTTTTTTTTTTCGCTTTTTGGGTCACACGTGGTGGTGCACAGGGGTTACTCCTGACTCTGCACTCAGGAACTACTCCTGGTGGTGCTCAGGGGACCATTCGGGATGCTGGGTATCCAACTCGGGTCGGCAGCATGCAAGGCAAACAAACGCCCTACCCGCTGTGCTCCAGCCCCCTTTTCTTATATATCTTAACTAGGAGGATGAGTAAGCACTTTGCATTGGGTTTAAGACATGCAAGATGTTACACTAAAGGGGTTGAGAAGAGCAGAAAGTTTGAGAGGAGGATCTTCTGTATACCCTGTGCCCATTTCTGGGGTTATTCTTTTTTCTAATCTCACCTATCTACTTCCCTCCTATCCCTCTATAGCTTTATCAACAGCAAACAGCAAAATGAGACAGTAAAAATATTGAACAGGAAGCAGAAGTGCAGTCAAGACCCATGACTAAGATATACTAAAGGTATTCCTTCCCTTAAATCAATCCTCCTTTGGCCCCATGTTGGCACAGCAACCTTGATTCCATACTGCATGCTTGATCAAAAATAGATGGCCTGTCCCTCTTTGTCCTCTCTTAGTAATCTAATTGAATTCTATTTAGAGTTCTGTGTGTGTGTGTGTGTGTGTGTGTGTGTGTGTGTGTGTACACACACACATGGCTGAGGGTCCCTAGGGCTGGTTCTCAGCAGACTAGGTCAGATGGTTCAATGCCAGGGCTTTGTACTGTGGTGCTGACAGAGGGCAGTGGTGCTGGGGCCTATCAGGGCACTCTGGCAGTGCTCAGGGGCTTATGTAGCGCTGGGAGTTAAATTCAGAGACTCGGGTACGCAAGGCAAGTGCCCAACCTCTGAGCTTTCTTCTCAGCCCATCAAATTCCTTTTATGCAATTCAGTGGGAAAGTCGGCTTGGCCTGCTGAACAGAGACTAGCTCCTCCTCACGGTGAAATTAGTTGCCTCTCCTCCTACTTTGTGTTCTACCTTATAGACTGCCAGTTTTCCCTGGGTAACACTGGATTTCTCCATGTCACGGAATCAAGCCATGGAGGCGGTAAACACTCTCCTACAGAAACCCCCGCACCCCACCTCTGCAGCCCAGAAGAGCTGGCCCGGCTGAAGATGCCACATATTTCCCTTTTCCTTCCCACTTCTTTCAAGGTCAAGAAACTCACCTCCAACTGGAATTTGAGATGCTCCCTCATGCTCTCAAAGAGCAGGAAGCACACACGCAGGGAAGCAGCATAAAGATTCACTCGCTCCACGCTGAGAAGCTGGAGATCAGAGAGGAGAGGCCATTAGTTTTCTGACCCTGACTCAGTCCAGAGAAAAAGGAGGAGAGAACTGAGTGAGGCAACAACTCAAGTCCTCCAGTCTGAGGGACTCCAGTGAGCCATTCCTCTACATTCCTGTACTTCCCTTTGACTCTTTGTCCCTGAGGACTTCATCATCATCATCATCATCATCATCATCATCATCATCATCATCATCATCATCTTCTTCTTCTTTTTTTGGGGGGGTGGGTGGGTGGGGCTGGGAGATAAACCTGACAGTGCTCAAGAAACAGGGTAAGGCAAGCCCTTACCCCTGTACTATCTCTCCACCCTGCCCTGGGGACTACTGAATTGTGAATACTGATCATATTTAGGGGTCTTTTCCTGGGCCTTCTAATCTTCGAGAGAATCAGATATGCTTCCCAATGCTCCCCTGGCCCAGAGAACCTGAAAAATAGCACAGAGTCTCTCTGACAGTCCAGTCTTACCTCGAATAAATGGCGGCACATCTCATCCTTGACAAGGCCCAGGAGGGTTTGGCAGTGGGCTACAGGGGCTGACTCAAGAGCCACTGTCAGCAAATGCAGTCCCATGTGAATCATGACCTCTGAGTTGTGGCGGTCGTGTGGATTGGTGAGGGAGATGAGGAAGCGGAAGAGCTCTCGAATACAGGGAAGACCATAGGGGACCAAAGCTGTACCTGGGGAAGGTCAAGAGGGAAACGGTGATGTGAGAAACAGTTGGCTTGATAGCCTGGACTAGCTGCCCTTGCGATTCCAGGGGACTTTCTTCAAGAAAAGAAAATTATGGTTTTGCCTCACAAGCAACACTTAGGCCCCAGGGGCCACTCCTGGTGAAACTCGACCAATCAGATGGTTTGATACTCAGGTAAAAGATGTGCTATTACTTGGCCCTGCATTCCTAGGGACTACCAGGGTGACCAAAGTGGTGCATTGGGGCCAGCTTGATGGTGCCTGGGGGAATTCTAGGTCTATACCCAGTGGTGCATCGGGGGTGCATGTCATGCGACTGACAGAGTTCTGCACATATGAAGCTTGAATGCCCTGGACCCCTGTTCTATCTCCCCAGCCTGTGGTTATTGATTTTTTTTTTTTTTAGAAAAAAAAATTAGTCTTGGGACTGGAGTGATAGCACAGCGGGTAGGGCGTTTGCCTTGCATGCAGCCAACATGGCTGACCCAGGTTCGATTCCCAGCATCCCATATGGTCCCCCGAGCACCGCCAGGAGCAATTCCTGAGTGCGTGAGCCAGGAGTAAGCCCTGAGCATCGCCGGGTGTGACCCAAAAAGCAAAAACAACAACAACAACAACAAAAAAAAACCAAAAAAAAAAACAAAACACCCAAAAAATTAGTCTTATTTACTGGAGGAGGGAATCAGTATTAACCCTATCTTTCCATTAAAATCCCCAGCCTTCTCTTTTCCCTCTCACTTGCTATTGTGCATCAAATTCCCGCTCTGCACGTGAGGAAAGGCTTCATACACACCAATAGTCCTCTGACTTGAGGACTTGACTATATTTCCTGGCTAAAAAAAATGGCCTCGCACTTAAGACCAGCAGAACCTTGGGTCTCGGAGGGAAGTGGGAGATGAGTGGCCCAACCTGCCAGGAGTACCCACCTTCTTTCTGGGAGGACTGTGTGAAGCGAACGCCCCGAGGGTTGACGTAATCCATGTCATGGACAGAGGCAGAGTCGGAGTGGTCTGCCGGGGACGAGCACTCCTCTAACACCTCAGGGATGGATTCCACGGATGTTGACTGGGCCTGCTCCACATGTGTCCTTTCCTGCTATGACCAACAGCAGGCGACATAGGAAGAGGGATGATGCACAAGCAACTTGGAACAAGTTCTCAGAAACTGTCCTCCAGTGGCTCTAACGGTTGGCAATGCAGGGCCAGCTCAGTGGGCTCTGAATCAATGCCCTGAGATGGCCCTGGGCAGGAGTAGGATATGAAGGACTCGGAAAACATCTCTGGAGACATCACAGGCCTCGTTGACCTAGTGAACTAGAATGCTGGAGGCAGCAGAGGCTCCCACAGCCTGGGGATTCAGAACACTGCTTTCCAGGAAGAGCCTTAGCCAGCTCCCTCACCATGTATGCATACACTGCTAAGTCCCAGGAGCTCCTTCTCACAGTGAGTCATGCTGCGGGTTTTCTAGGTCGCATAGCTAATTCTGGGAATCAGGGATTAACTCCTTTATCCCAACCTTCATTTGTGCTAAGGAAGGCAGGGATAAAGGATCAAGTCAGTTGCCACAGTGGAAGATTCGAGAAGGGCCTTTAGGAATTAAAGCTGTACCTGCAGGTCAGGCTGCTCGGCAACCCCGAGCTCGCTGCTGCAAGGCTCCGCAGCTGAGCTGTGTCCTGGAGAGCCGGGCTGCTCCAGGTCAGTAAGGTCCTCCTTGGAGGTGGTCTGGGAGGAGAACTCTAGGCCACTGTCTGTACAGGGGCTGACCACTGCTGAGGCAGCTTCTGAACTTGCAGAAGAGACGGATGTGGGCACATCAATGAAGGGCATGCCACCTGCCAAAGAAAGTGAGGTTTTCAGACTGTTGAAACCATTCTTGTCATGGGCCAGGAAAGGGAGGGCTCTAGTGGCTAGGCTGTAGACTCTTCTCTGCAGACCCTGCCCTCTAAAGGAGTCAGGGTTCCTCTGCAAGGAGAAAACCCGAAAGCACTAGAGTTGCTTGCTGCTTCATTTGCTCTGACCTGGAATTTTCTCTTTTTGCTCTCAGCAGAAAGACCAAAGCCCCCCCAAAGGTGGGGTCTCAATGTCAAAGTACCTCCAAGAGGAAGGGCCATTTTTCTTTTTTTTTTTTAATTTTATTTTTTATTATTATTTTTTTTAATCATTTTTTTTATTAGTGAAACACCATGAAGTACACTTATAGACTTATAAATTTTTGTGCTTGGGTTTCAGTTATACAATGATCAAGTACCCATCCCTCCACCAGTGCCCATCCTCCCCCACCACGGGTCCTAGCATCCCTCCCACCCCCCATCCTCCCCCCCACCCCCCCGTCCCACCCTGCCGCTGTGGCAGGGCATTCCTCCCTGTTCTCTCTCTCTTCTTTTGGGTACTGTGTTTTGCCAGAGAGGCATTGAGTGGCAGTCATTTGCTCTGACCTGGAATTTTCTCTTTTTGCTCTCAGCAGAAAGACCAAAGCCCCCCCAAAGGTGGGGTCTCAATGTCAAAGTACCTCCAAGAGGAAGGGCCATTTTTCTTTTTTTTTTCTTTTTTTTAACTTTTTTTTTTGTAGGAGTACTGCTATTTATTCAGCCACTGATTAGCTGATTGAATTGTGCATGAACTCCACCTTACTTTTTTTTTCTTTTTCCATTTTTTATAATTTTATTTATTGAATCATCGTGAAAGCAGTTACAAAGCTTTTGGGTCTAAGTCTCAGTCATACAATGAAACACCCGTACCTTCACCAGTGCCCATTCTTCACCACCAAAAAATCCCAGTATACCCCCATCCCACACCCTCCCCCTGCCTGTGGGGCAGATGATTTCCACATTACTCTCTCTCTACTTTGATCACATTCACTATTTCGACACCAGACCCACCATTATTTAAGATTTTACCCCAACACTCAGATCTGCTGAAAAGGCAACAATAGACAATTTGTGTTCTATTGCTGGTTATGAATAACATATGATGTCGTGTGGCTGCAGTAGGGCCATGTGGTTTTGAAGTTCTGAAATTTTAACACTTAAATCTGGAGGGATTTCTGCCAAAAGTCACTGGGTTTAGAGATCTGCTCCTGAGTCTCTGGGATCATGGCCGTTGAGCAGTTTGATGAGGAGTCAAAGAGGCCATTCGTAGGTGATGACTTGGGGTCTCATTGGGGTGGGGAAGACAGGCCCGGCTCCACCTCCCCCCCCCCCCGCCCATCCCGTGAGACCCAACAAGTTTCATCACTGCGGGCCCAAGCCTGACAGTCCAATGGCCTCTGGAGGATGACAGGCACCAACTCGCCAAGAGGGAGCAGGCGGAGGGACAGCACCCATTCCCCTCTGGGGTGGCCCGGTGACAGTAACCTACTGCAGGGTCCGGACACATTTCTGCCAAAAGCCGCTGGGTTTCAAGATTTGTTTCTGAGTCTCTGGGATCAAGGCCGTTGAGCAGCTTGATGAGGAGCCAGAGAGGCCGCTTGTGGCGATGACTTGGGGTCTCATTAGGGTGGGGAGGACAGGCCCGGTTAAGGGCCATTTTTCTATTCCAATGAGAGACAAAGCTGTCCAGGTGACTTACCGGTGAGATTATTAGAAGGTGTGGTGTTTCCATTGGCGGGGGGCTGCTCTGAACCTGGTGTGCCTTTGGTCACATGGCGTGGGGGCCGCGGGGATCTCTTCTGTTTCTTCCACTTGGATGCATCGCTCATGCCCCCTGCTCTCATTTTCAGCTGAAAACATTACACGTCATTAGCACTGGTACAACCTGAGACTCTAGCCCTAGAAATCTCCCTTCTTTTAGTCCTACTAGTCCCTCGAAAATAACCTATCCCCCACATCTGTGCCAAAGGAACAATCTAGACCCATTGGAACATAGTTCTACTCCTTCTAAACTGGCTTCTAGGCTCACCACTTGGTAGGTCAGCCTGGTCACCTCTATATGGAAGGTGACATTCTCCTTTCAGGCCGGCCATTGACAGGACCAACTTTTATACCTAATTCTGCTTTCCTGAGGCCTGGGTGGTAATCCTGAGGCCTGCAGCTGTCACCCTCTGAGAGAAAGGATAAGGGCAGAGGATCCTTATCTGGACAGCCTCCTAGTCCTAGTTCTTACCCAATATGAAAACCCCCTCCTTTCCAGCCACTCAGAAGCTACTGCAGCTTGTGAAGAGCACGAGATCACAAACATCCCTTACTCTCTAGAATTTCTGAATCAAATCCAAGACTTATTCCTTAGTTAAACTGATTAAGGAATAATATTTCAGCTCATTTATGGAGTTAAGGAAGGAAGGTCACGTCATGCTGCTTTGCTGCTCCCAATTTTGGTCTATCAGTGGGCCCTAATGTCCTCAGTATTGATCTGTCTAGATGCTCCTCCCATTCCTCTATAGCTTCTGTTTAATCACACAAGGAAATATTTGTTGCTGTTCTAAAATAAGTCCTTTTTTTTTTGTTTGTCTGTATTTTTGCTTTTTGGGCCAGGTGATGCTCAGGGGTTACTCGTGGCTCTGCACTTAGGAATCATCCTGGCAGTGCTCAGGGGACCATCTGAGATGTCAGGAATCAAACCCGGGTCGGCAGTGGGCAAGACAAACGCCCTCCTCCTCACTGTATTATTGTTCTGACCCACTAAGATAAGTATACATTTTTCACGCCTTATGTTCATAGCTACTTTATTTAGGGCCATTTTTGTCTTACTAATCCTGATGCATTCTCAGAAGAGTTTGAACCCAATCCCTCTAGAGTCATCCTAAACTGATGGGTCCACTTCCGGATTGGACAATGCCACATATCTTCCAGTGATTTTTAAAAGAACCCTAAAGAGAGGCTGGAGTGATAGCACAGCAGATAAGGCAAGAGCAGAAAAAAACTTTCCTCCCTGCCTCTTTCTAAAAGCAGAATATACTCAGATTATCACTGGCCTGTTCAAGTCCTGCTGATATTTGGGGGATAAAGTCCCTTCCTCAAGTTCCCCCAATTCCTTTAGAATTTGGGTAACCTCTGATCACGTTGCTTGAAACAGGTAATTCTTCCTTCTCTACTCACAGCTCCATCCCTGAGAGAGGTCCAAGAGAGCTGAGCTGGTCCCTCCAGCCCTTAGTAACAGAGCAACAGCCTCTCCATGACACTTTCCATCTCCAAATGCCTAAAGTGGAGCTTCACATGCCCTGAGTACTGTGGCTAAGGAGGAACCACGATGTTTTCTCTAGGAACCACTGAAGCATGTTTGGCTCAAGTTCAAAGTTAAAAAAAAATGTGGTAAGAATAAGCCAAACATGCAGCTAGTTAAGAAGTCCAAGAGACCCATGAGCAAAAATAAGAACCTTCTATCTTTGTCACTGAGCTCCATTAAGTACAAACATTTGGACACACCTGGGAGTTATCTCTTCTCTTTCTGAAACACCCTCCCACTTCAGGGAGCAGAATCAATCTTTCCAAATGTTTTCCTTCTCTGTCCTCTGCAAAGCTAGCCCCAACCTCTGCAATCATTTCAGGGATCTCTGCCTCCTGGTTGGAGTAGGGACCAAGAGTCTGCCAATTCTTACAATTCTTACACATGTCTCAGCCCTTAAAAGGCTTAAACAGGGGTTGGGGAGATAGTGCAGCGGGTGGGGTGCTTTCCTTGGCAGCTCTATGATCCCCCGAGGCTGCCAGGAGTGATCCCTGAGCACTGAGCGATGTGGCCTAAACAAACAAACAAAATTATACAGACTTCCTACTTAAGGGTACCCCATGTCCCACTTCCCCACTGTTCCTCAAATAAAGTTTCTACAGGAGGAATAAGCATAAATGGTTATGTCCTCAGGCCTAAGGGCGAGAGGGAGCAGTAGGTTTTCATGGACTCATACACCATACTTTCCATAAAACTCTACATTTCAAACAAAAAGTATTAGGAAAGGGTAGGTCCTAGACTAAAAACCATGACAAAATGCTGGGTTATCCACTAAATAAAGCTTCAGCTTTGAGGCAGGCAAGCACGAATAAAATCTGAGGCATTATAAGCCTATGAACTATCTAGCTGGGCACGTAAGATATGAACAGACTAATTCTCTTATCTTTAATAACCTGGATGTCCACAACCATGCCTCCAGCATGTACTTCCTATGATGATCTAGGCAGACTATACCTCCGTCTCTTGCTCTTCTTTCTAAGGCAGGATTATGGGAATCTTTACCTTGGATCCCTCCCTTGTGCCCATATACAACTTGATATTTAAAGGACAGAGGGTGTCTTGCAGATTTCAAAATCCTCCCAGTGTCCTGGACTATTCTGGAATCTGGCTCCTTCCCAACCATCTGGATCCTCTGTGCTTCTTGGAATGACCTCTTTAATGGGAACCAAGAGAAAGAAAAAAAGACCCCGACTAGATGGATCAGCCTTACCCTCAGACCCAGCCTGGTTTCCCAAACAGAGTGGAGACTATGCTTAGAATTCCCTGTGCCAGCTCTGACCCGGGGAGAGGGGGAAGAGGGAATGGGGGCTGCCTGGAAGTCCCTTATGGTTCCTTTGGAAATGGCAGATACTAAACCTCCCCACAAGATGTCAGTACGACTCAGGCTCTCAATCTAGTTTCACTACATAATATGCCACCAGTTTAAGGCTTCCTTCTGCCTCCAGCCAGCTGGATGCCCTAGAATGCCCAGCACCGCAAAGCTAACAACGCATGCCACTGTTCCAAAGTGGAGCTGTGTTATGTGTTACTAGGCAGGGGTAAGTCATGCTCTCCACAATGGAAACAGGACCCAGCTGTTACATATATATAAACAACAACAACAACAACAACACTTAAGTAAATTAAAAGGGGGAAAAGAGAGGGAGAGGGAGAGAGACCTTGAGGTTCTTAAAGAGTAGTACCCTCTCTAACTGGTTCAGGGCTTTGGTCTGCTCCCCACTACTTAGCTCCAGTTTGTTGAGGAGACATGGAGAAATCTGTGAAAGACAGGCAAATGAATGATTTACACAGAGTGAAATAAACTCACACAACGCCAACAGGGCACAGGGCAGGACTGGGAATGGATGATGGGGGGAAGGGAAGGTCAGGTGCATGCACCAAACAGCCAAGGGACATCTCCATGGACAGAACCTCTCAGGGCTACCAGCAGAATCCTCAGCATAGGCCTGCGAAGTCCAGGGTTTCTGTTCAACATGAGTCATTCTCCCAACCACTATTCTTTCAGTAATTTGAAAACCTGATCTGAGGTCAGATTTATTTTTGTTTGTTTCACCTCTGGTTTTGGGTCATACCCAGTGGTGCTCAAGGCTCATTCCTGGCTCTGTGCTCAGGGATCACTCCTGGTGGAGCTGGGGGACTATATGGGGTGTCAGAGATCAAACCCAGGCTGGCTGTGTGCAAGGCAAGAGCTCTACCCACTGTTCTATTGCTCCAGCCCGATTTGTCTCTTCAGACACCAACCCAAGCATGAACCCAGTTTAATCCAGCCTACAGTAGGTTTTGGGGCACAGTCTCTCTTGGCCTTGAACCTGCAGACAAGGTTGGTCCCTGAAGAGAATGGAAGGACTTGTTCCTTTATCAATATATAATTTTAGCCCTGATGGACCTCATCCAGTTTCCATGAAGGACTAATTTTACTCTTATGTGATAGGTCAACAAAGATAGGCCAGAAAGGAAAGGTTGGGGAAGGAGAGATATCTGGGAAAGAACGAATTTCTCACTAAAGAACTGATTAGCTATGTCTAGGTTCCAAGCAGACCTGTCCTGGCAAAAGCATGTTTTTCCTAAGGAAGGGTATTCAGGAAAATCCGCGTAACACTGAAGTTGGGAGAGTAAGATTTGGATGAGAGACAGCAGGCTGTACCTTCTTCATGTTGGTCCCCACATAGTTCTTGGGCTCTTCCTTAAACTGAGGCAACCTATAAAACAGACAATCTCATGTCACTAGGGATAGTAACAAATATCTCCCTTTGAGCCAGCAGATGTGCTATCAACCAAAGATGCTCTAGGGCAGAGCAAGCCTAATATCGTAGGAAAACCAGGAAGAGAAGTCAGCTAATTTAACCCTTTTGACAGCTTTAACAAAAAGTAACAGGAATAAGACGCCAGGGGCATTTTTTCAAAAATAAGGCTATCATCAGGGCAAGTTGCCCTGTTAGTATGGAAGCTCTTCATACTTTTTTTTTGCTGGGGACTGGATCCAGGACTTCATTTCTCTACTGCTAGTAGAACTAGTACAAGTTCTCTACCGCTGAGTTAGAGTCCCAGCCCTAACTCTTTTCATCCTGAAACTGACCGCTTCTTGCTTGTATTCACTTGGCAAGAATTGTTGAAAGCCAAGTGATAGGAAGAGTGCAGTCTTTCAAAATCCTGGGAGACTGGGCATAGTGTGAAAGTAAAAGTTAAAAAAATTCGGAAACAGTGAATTTGAGCATGAGGATTAAGAAATGTTGCAGTAAGGTCCAGGGGCAGATCTAGTCTACAGATGAAGAGGATTATTTATAAGCCTGAAAAAGCGGGAAAAAAATACAAGGAGAATAATAATAATTATTATTGTTATTTCGGTGGGAGGGTTGGGGGCTTGGGAGCCACACCTGGCAATATTCAGGGCTTATTCCTGGCTCTGCATTCAGGAATCACTCCTAGCACTGCTCAGGGGGCCACACGGGACGCTGAAGATTAAACACAGGTTGGTGGCATACAAGGCAAGCATCCTACCCGCTGTACTACACTCCGGCCCCAGAAAGCTGTTTCTTCAACAGACTTACTTTTTTTCAGAGAAATTTTAACTTCACGGTAAAACTGAGCAGAAGGTGCATTGATTTCTCACAGAACATAGGCCTGCATATACGCAGAGCCTATTCCATCACCAATATCCCCTGGGGGGATCTTAAAGCTCTCACTGTCTTCCCTCTTCTTTACATTAATACTACTGAAAGGACGATGTTTTGCCTCCTCCCTCCCCGCCCCCCCCAATCGAGGTCTTTGACAAGGGTAAATAATAAAAGATTGGGAGGGGTGTGGCTTCAGCAGTAAGTCTTGGTTTGCCTGAGACTGGGGGTTGATGTGGCTCCCACACTTTCAGCGCTAAAATTGGTACAGTCCAGGTAAAACATCACTATCACCAACCCTCGCCTGGATGGTTCCTCACAGAACGCAGGTTGCGCCTTGGGGGCTCAGCAACCTGTTCCTGGCTCCCCTGTGCTTGACTTCCTCTCTGGGTTCCCTCTCCCAGCTGCTACCTGTACAGAAACAGACACAAGTCTGGGAAGCAAAACAAGGTCTGTCAGCCCATATCAAATAACCCTTTGCCTTCCCCCGCCCCTCCGGCCCCCAAGGCCAAGCCAGCTGCCTTCTCCTTCTCCCTAGCTTGGTTACCCTGCGCCCAGAGAACTACCCCCAGCCATAATCCCAGTGGCCTCCGATGTGGCTGTGGGGTTGGCCAGGTCCCTGAAGTGGCTGTGTGGAAGCAGGCAAGCTCAAGAGGCCTGGGCAGCAGGGCTGAAGCAAACAGCAGCAGGTTTACCTTGTGAAGAGCAGCTGCACCATGTCCACGAGAGTGTGCTCTGCGGATTTTCTCAATAACTCTGCACAGGCAAAAACAAATAACACAGGTGTCATTACTTGCCGCGCTATTATCAGGAGGCTTCTCAGAGCAGACTCCCCTCCAAACCTTGTTTACCAAGGATTATGCCAAACTTATTAAAACCAGCTCCAGCTCAGCCTGGCAGACGTAACTTTACTGGTCCACTAGATGGCACTACTGAGTCAGAGAAAAAGGGGGTGCAATGATGTGCTGGGCGGGTTTGCAAACTGGTGTTAATTTCAGAAACCGTCCCCCCCTCCCCTCCCAGAGAGATTTGGTGCCTGGGCTGAGTCAGTCTGGGATTTATCCCAACACCTCCTGCTCTGGCACAACAGGTTAAGTCTTTATTCCAGCAGCACAACAATGAGTCAAAATACCAAGGCGTCTACTTCCCCATGGCGCCACAGAGGAAATATGATGGAGAAGCCCTGAGTTTTCTTTCTGGGCTTCAGAAATAGCACTCTTTACTCAGTCTGGCTCCCCAAATGGTGAAAGGCCCCAAATTAATCACCCACCACTGAGCCTCATTTCAAAGCAGATCCGGAAGCAGGACTGCATGATCTCACACACAGATTCATTGGTTAGATGCGCACCCACGGGGGTCAGCAACAAAGTTCGTAGCACCTATCAGGAAAAAAAAGAGATTACTGGGCTAAACACGGCAGGATGGGTGCAAAGGGGACCACCTTCTTCTCTCTCCTGCTGGAGGAGAGAGGTCTCCTGTTCTCTGAGGACCCAGGTTTCTGAATGGGGGCACTCCTGAGTGGATGTGAAAGCGTAGCAAGACCTCTCCCCAGTGTGGTGGGGGGATCGGATCTCGGAGGAGTTTGTCTTGGATCCGTGTCTCTACTTTGTACAACCCTAAGTAGTTTAGAGCTCAGTCCTTGCCCATAAGCCCAACAGATGGACAGCACAGATTCAGTCTGCTAGAGAGACACATGTATCAAGGGTTTCTGGTATTTGATATCAATTTATTTAGAGCTTTTAATTATTTTTCATAAAAAATAAAAGCTTTTACTTTGGGTATCTGAGAAGCTTGTTTGGAAACAATGTAGCTCCCTAAGCCCCAGTGGAGTCAAAACATAGCTTTACCCTGCGGCCGACTTGGGTAAGTGGAGCTGGTGGCACCGGCCCCTGGCCATTAGCCTAATTGCTCTTCCCCTCCATTTACCTGAAGGATTTTCATCAGGACAACCTCATCGCTGGCAGGATCTGTGCCTACAAAACGGGCATGGGTGACAGCATCTGCCATGTTCTCCATCCCCTCTGCTGTGCCTTCATGAGTGGGATCTGCTCCAGCAAAAAAGGGAGACTAAATGATGTGGAAAAGAGAGAAAAGGCAAGACATCCTGTCTAGAGATTGCTCTGCTAAAACTATGCTCTCCTGTTCATCAATTCCCTAACTTTGACTCCTTGAATTATCTGAGAATTTGTTACTCTTACAGCTTGGCTTTAACGGGCATCTCAGCACAAACTCTACTTGTGTAAAATAGTGACTCTCAAAGTCAAGCAGATATGAAAATCACCCAGAGCTTGTTAAAAAATACAAAACAGCTGTAGCCACTGTCAGACTTCTTAGTAGGTCTAGAGTGGGGCATGCAGATTGCATTTTGGGGGGGCGAGCATACCCACTGGTGCTCAGGGCTTACAGGATTGCTCCATTGGGGGAAATCTCATGGGGTACTGGGGATTGAACGTAGGCTGGCCTTGTGCAAGGCAAGTACCTTACTTGCTGCAGCAAGCACTGTCTCTCTTGTCCCCAATTATTTGCATTCCTAACAGGATTCCGGTGAAGTTACTGATGCTGGTCAGGGAACCACACTTTGGAATCACTGGAGTAGAGCTACTCATGTCACAGTGACGGAGCAGGGAATACGTTTCTGTAGGGTGCCAGAGAGAGAGAGTAAAGCAGGCAGGTTGTTGCCTTGCACACGACCGACCTAGGTTCGATCCCCGGCACCCCATAGGGTCCTTTGAGCACCACCAGGAAAGATCTGAGTTCAGAGTCAGGAGTAAGCCCTGAGTACTGCTGGGTGTGACCAAAAAACAAGTGTGAGTTCAGGCAGAGTTCTTGGCCCAAATAAGGTCAGAGCTTCAAACGATAAGAGCCTGCATCCATTCTCTTTAATACTCTTATGTCCATTCTCTTTCTGGTTGATTTTAGAGTCTGTATGTTTTGGTGTATCTGAAGTAGAGGAGTGGGGGTACGGAACAGAAAGGTCCCGCTGCCAGTACTCATTTCTGGGTGCCCCATTACAGCAAATCAGAGAACTCTTTCTACTTCGCTTTCATTCTTATTTAAAATAATGATACAGAACAAGAGTGCTTTCAACCAGCTTAACTAAAGAGGCATTAGGAGGGGTGGGAGTAAAAGCATGGCAGGTAAGGGTAGGGGTGCTTGCTTTTCACGATCGAGGCTCAATCTCCTGCAACGCATATGGTCCCCCAAGCTGCATCAGGAGCAATTCCTGAGTGCAGAGCCAGGAATAACCTCTGAGCATTGCCAGGTTTGCTGCCCCCACCCCCACCCACCAACTCCCCAATAAAAACAAGCAAGCAAATAAAAAAGAGTTATCAGGAGAGAAAGAGATGTGAACAATGCTGGAGGTTGTCTAACGGGGCAGTAAAATGAGGGAGTATTTCACCCAAGAAAAAGAGAGAGGGGAGAAGCTAGATGTTGGATAGCCAGCACTAGGCTGGAATATAATAATACAAATGCTACCATAGGAAGGAAAATGCTGATTCATGTGGTAAATGCCACAAGCAAAATAAGTAGGTTCCATCAAGGTCTACAAAGGTCCTGGACCTCTGTTTTGAGAGTCTCTAGAATGTTCTTAAAAGGGGAGCAATAACTAGGATAAAAGGCAGGTACGTGGGGCCAAGAGAGATAGTTCAAAGATATGTCAAAGAGCTGAGCAGTTGAGATCTTTAACACTGCATGGTCTCCCAAGCACTGCTAGATGTGGCCCCCAAACCAAAAAAAAGGAAGGGTCATAATAATGTCTTTAAAACAAATTTTTTAGCCACACCCATTGGTGCTCAGGGATCACTCCTAGCGGACTTGGGGGACTATATGCAGTGCTTGGGATCAAACCAGGGTCAGGCACAGGCAAGGTAAGCACCCTTCCCACCGTACTATCACTCTGGTCCCAGATAACGTCTTTTTGCCCTAGTTAAGTGGCGGGAATGAGAAGAAAGTAATTTTCTCTTTTCTATCACTTAAACTTAGCAGATTTCCTGGCCTAAAAGGCATAGGAGATAACTGGGAAACTGGAACCTTTCTCTTTTTTGTAGTGTCGGGCTGCAAGGTAAGTGCTCTGCCTGTGAAGTAACTCCTCCAGCCTGAAACCAGAACATTTCTCTTGCAACAACGAGCCAGAAGGCTTTCTTTGTCAAGTGGTTTTCATTTGTTTTCTTTCTCCTCTATTCTGGTTAGTTTCTGACATCTAGAAAGGTCTTTTCTCTGACTATTCAGCATGAGGACCGGCTACTTAGAAGATCATGGAGAAGTTGAGGAGAGGAGATAGCTCAAAGGGCTGGAGTGTCCGCTTTGCCTATGGAGCCCCGAGTTTGATCCTCAGCATTGCCTGGTCCCCTGAGCACCATCAGGGAGTAATCTCTCAGCACAGCCAGGTGTGGCCCCAAAACAAAAGGGATCATGCAGCAGAAAGCCAATTTCCTGATGATAATATACTGAAGGGAATGACCCTGCTCCTTTTGGGGGGTGGGGAAGCACATGCCCAAGGGGGCTTAGATGTCGCTCCTGGTAGTGCTGCGGAGACCTTGCGGTGTCAGGGATTGAAGCAGTGTGCAAAGCATGAGCTCTGTCCATACAGCTCCCTCTGGCCTCCAGCTGCTTCTGTCTTCTGAACTCCCCGTCTTTCTCACCAAAACAGAAACTCCTACACTGTCTCTCAGCCTTGCCTGCTAGTCCTTACTCTGACTTTCAGGGTCCCTTTTCTGGCACAGGACATCCAGATCTTTTTTGATTTTCTGGAAGCTCAGTGAATAGCAATCTTGCTCCCATATCAAAAACTTTCCTTCCTTTAGTAATCTCCCCTGTAAAAGATAGTTTAAGCTCTCGGATCTTTTTGCTGGTTCTTATCATCTGAGTTTGAATAAAGTACCATATTTAATTTTCTAAAAGGCAGACAGAAGTGATTGGTTTCTAAGACCACAGGTCGGGCCTGCCAGCAAACAGGGCAATCAGATGCACAAATCTTCAGTGTGGCAGCTGTGTGAGGCCAAACAAGAAACCAAGGGTCATATGATAGAGGAGCTGGGGGTGGCTTACTCTAGAATGCTATCCGAAACAAAAGGCGGCTGGACTTGGGCTCACACAGTGGCGCCCTTCACTCAGAATTTCCTCCTTTGCTGGCCACTCTGCAGGGCAGACTGCAGGGAAGCGTGCCAGCCTCATCTTCTTTAACTTCTAACTTTCGCGTATGCTTCCTGCTCCTTTTCTCATGCCCACGGCAATCACCACCTCCAGCATTCTCTTTTCCCACCACAGGAAACTCCAACGACCAGCTGGGCTGAAAGTCTCCAATGACCAGCTAGTGTGCCAAGTTCAGGAAGGGGAGAAAGGAACTCTGACAGAGAGCAGAGGGAACAGAGGGCAGCTGGAGAGGCCGTGGAGAGAGACAACCTGCAGGTGGTGCTCAGGACCAAGCCTGATCTTTATTTAGGAAAAGTCTGAAGCTAGGAGTAGGGTGGCCCGAGGGGCTGCTGCACCTACCCATAACTAGCTGGCACCCAGGATCATGAAAGCTTCAGTTGTTATGCAATAACTTTCTAGAACAGACTGAATTTTCTTTTCTTCTTCTTCTTTTTTTTTTGTTTTTGGGCCACACTCAGTGGTGCTCAGAGATCATTCTTGTATCACACCCGGTGTTGCACAGGGGTTACTCCTGGCTCATGCACCCAGAAATTGCTTCTGGCAGTGCTGGGGGACCATGTGGGATGCTGGGAATGGAAGACAAACGCCCTACCCGCTGTGCTATCACTCCCGCCCTTCAGCAATCCCTCTTGACTTTAACTGAAGGCCACTTTCCTTTCAGGCTAGCTAAGGCCTGAGGAGCTGCTGCTTTTCCTGTCTCCCTACTTAGAAACAAAGACAGCTGCCTGTCTTCTGTATTCCTGACCTGGCACATGAGTGAGCAATGTGGGACGGGGGAAAAAGAAATTCAGGATCCTGAAAGACCAACTTAAAAAAATCACACACACACACACCATACACACACACACACACACACACACATACACCATACACACACATATCTCAGGTATATCAGCGGCTGGAGAGATACAGAAGATAAGGTGCTTGTCTTGCAAGCAGCTAACCTGGGTTAGATCCCTCGCGCTGCATACGCTCCCCTGGGTACAGTCAGGAGTAAGCCCTAAGCACAGTCAGGTTTGGCTCAAAACCCAAATATATAATAAATTAATTCATTTATAAACAACAGACTAGCGAAAACATTTGGGATAAACTGAAAGAAAAATACGCAATACAATGACAGACAATATGTTAATAGCCCCACTACACAAAGTGCTCCTACAAATTGATAAGAAAAACAAATATTCTCAATAAAAAATTGGTCAAGGAGATAAAATTTAAGTGTTCGACCTCAAGGAAATAAAAACCACAAAATGCAAAATTATCACAAATAAAGAATGCTAACACTAGTGATACTGACAGGATGGGAGAATGGAAAGTCTCCCACATTAGCTGTTGGAATTGCAAGTGCTGCTTCCCGTCAGGCAGGCCCTCACTGCGGTTATCGCCCAACTCAAAGCACCGCTTTTTTATTTCCAAAGTACTGTTACCTCTTGGGGAAACAAGGAGGCAGTACCGATGAAAGTTTAATATGCACATGCCCTTTAGTCCAAAAATTTCAAGTACAAGAATTTGTTATATACAAGGGAACTTACTAAGAACACATAAACAGTGATGCATATTTCAGCATGACATAATGAATCAAAGTAGGAATCAGCCTAAACTTTTACTTTTCAATAAAAAAGGGGGGCAAAGAGTAAGCTGGACAACTAGTTCTGTCATGTATATCAAAGTTAATACAATTAAGTGAAAATATACAACACATAATTATATTTAAATTTTTAAAAGATGGCCACAGTGCTACAGTGCACTTTATATAAAAAATACTTTCTGTACATATATACAAGTATACATATATATAAGTATACTTATATACATGTAAACAAAAGTGCAGAAAGATCCAAACTTGCTTGTTTTTATTGTTCTTACAGCGATGGGGATTAAACCCAAGGTCTCACATATTCTAGGCAAATGCTCTATCAGTGAGCTGCATCTGTGGACCTTCAGATCTGCTCCTTAACATTATGTGAAAAGGAGGAGGGGCCAGTGTGATAGTACAATGAGTACTACTAACCTTGTTGACCTTGCATGAGGTCAACCTGGGTCTGATCCACAGCATTCCATTTGGTCCCCAAACACCGCCAGGAGTAATTTCTGAATGCAGAACCAGGAGTAACCCCTGAGCACTGTCGGGTACGGCCCAAAAAACAAAACCAAACAAAAAAGAAAAAAAAAAGGAGCAGATGCTTTGAGAGAAACAGAAGACACTAATAATTTTCTTCTCTCTTTTTTTGGGGGGGGGGAGGGAAGGGGTCAGACCTGGCGATGCTCATGCTCAGGGGTACACCTGGCTCTGTGCTCAAAAATTATTCCTATTAATGCTCAGGGGACCATAAGGGATGCTGAGGATTTAACCCAAGTCTGCTACATGCAAGGCAAGTGCCTTACTTGCCGTACTACCTCTGTGGCCCCTAATTTTCTTTAAGACACCTCTTGTTTCTCCTCCTTATAATAAGCCCTATATTTGAAAAATAACTTAAGAAATGAAACAAACCAGAGCCAGAGTGATAACACAGAGGGCAGGGCATTTATTTGCCTTGCACGTAGCCCTGGGTTCAATCCCCAGCATCCCATATGGTCCCCCAGGCACTGCTAGGACTAATTCCTGAGCACAACCCCTGAGTATTGCCAGGTATGACCCAAAAAGCAAAAAAAAAAAAAAAAAAAATTAAAAGAGTAGAAAATAAAAAAGAAACAAACCAAATCAAACCTCCAAAACACTCTTCAAAGCACAGGAAAGAAACCTCCCTACCCTCCTTCTCTACTCTGTATAACCTTCGTCAATTCGCAAGATGAGTAATCAATACAATCCTATTTCTCTTCTTCAAGGAAACAGATGACTAGGAAAAACTTTTCAGCATTCAGCAAAAACTTTAGCTCACTGTCTAAAGACCTAAGAGACGTGAAATGGAAGTATTGTGGTCATTATTATGAGACATAAACTCTTACCTATGAGTGCGTAGGACAGGAACTTATTGATAGAGGTGAGTGCCAGTCCAGTGATAGGGCCAGTGGTATCTTCAGAGCGAATCACTTCCAGAAAGGGACGAAGGAACACAATGGGCTCAATTTCTGAGAGTACTGCAAGGAAAAACAAAAACAAAAAATAAAACAGAAATAAAGTAATGCCATCTAAAAAACAAAACTGAACCTAGTAAAAGTCCCTTCTTTTGTCTGCTATGAGGTTAGAGATCTTAGTTGCTGGGTCAATCTTCCTCTCTCTGGATTGTCATGAATCAAATCCCCGATACAATCATTACCTGTAAAACTTTTGGTATAGTCCTGAAATTCTGAGAGAGGTTAAAAAATTATCATGCTTAAAATATATATAAAACTATATATAAGATAATCTTATTATATATAAATTATATATAAAATAGTTAAGATTGTAAAATCTACATTAAATATATTTTACGACTAAAAACAATGAAATATGATTATCGCTGAGTTAATTTCCTATGTCTACTTCACCACCGTCCTTCAGTTAATACTTGTGAAATCTTAGTTCAGTACAGCAAATGTGGCTAAAGGGATCCCAGCGTAGGCTGCTGTCATTAGGCCTTTAAGTTTTTGTCTTTTTTGTTGTTATTGTTATTTTTGTTTTTTAGGTTTTGGGGCCACACCTGGTGATGCTCAGGGGTTACTTCTGGCTCTGCACTCAGGATCATTTCTGGTGGGGATCAGGGGACCATATGGGTGCCAGGGGATAAACCCAGGTCGGCCACATGCAAGGCAAGCACTCTACTCACTGTAATGTTACTCCAGCCCCTAGTCTTTGTCTTATGGTCAAGGTGTTGCCTCTCAAGAGATAAAAAATGTAGAACATCTTGAGAAGGTCATAATTTATAGTCCCTTGAAATCTTGAAATTAATGGTACTTTGCTGAAAAATGAATATAAACAAAAGTGTGCACAGCCTCCTATTCATGGAAGAGTCTATCTTTTTCTCTTTTTCTTTCTTTTGGGAGGGCCACACCTGCTGATACTCAGGGGTTACTCCTGGCTCTAAATTCAGGAATCACTGCTGGAGTGCTGGGATGGTTGTGCACAAGGCAAGCACCTTAACTGGACATACTATCTCTATGGCCCCAGTACTTTGCAATCTTAAAAGGTCCTAATCACTTTTCAGTTTCTTTCTGTCTACTCCTGCAAACAAAGGGCTAAATGCCCATTTACAATCCTTATTTTACAAAAAAAAAAGTGAAGCTCAGATATAATTTGCCCTAAATTACACACACACACACACACACACACACACACACACACACACACACTCTCACACTCACACACACACACACACACACCTCCAAAAACTGTAAATGAAACCCATTTTATCTTTTATACCTAATTACTCGCACATCCTCCTGAATTTAGAAGGTTTCATTTCAGGTCAAAGAAGCAATCTTACACTGGATTTGCGTCATACCTTACTCTGCTGGGGATTTAATTTGTTTTCTATATGATGCTGTGCTTTCATCTTTGGGTGACCAGATCCCTAAGAGGCATCCTTTATAGGACAGAAAGATTTAGAGACATAATAAAGCTGCCAACCTTAAGAGACAAAAAGAAACTGGATATCCAAAGCACCTTTATTTTCATGCAAATACAGGGAGCTTCTCACTCAAATTCCTATCACCCCTTTCTAGGTAAACATTCCCTGGGACGGCTGCAACTCAGATTAATGCTTTAATTAATTGGCAGATTGGTTAGCATTTTCCAGAGCTTGTCTGTACAGTGATCACATCAGCTGTGTAAAACCTGCTTCTCATCCCCCATTACCCCCACCTGCAGATGAATAATTTTGGGGGAGGGTGAAACAATCTAGAGAAAAACCTTTGTGTAAGGGTTAAAAAGTAGGGCATAAAAATATTTGGGATGATTAAAATACAGAAAATGTTTTAAAAAGTACATTAGGGGGTATGGTGTCGCCAGCAGGTCAACCTGTACGTGAGGTGAGTGCATCAGCAGCCTGACGGCGCCTTCAGACTTCCAGATACCCCCAAATTGCTGCTGTGCCTTTGGCCAGACCCCAAAAACTTGGGGCAAAGTTTACCAAGAAATTAAATGGTCAAAAGTTAGGTATGTGGGAGACACACCCCCAAACCACCTCCGGCTCATCTATATAATTGGAGGCATGGCCTCTCTGGTTCCTGATTGAACTGCTTAACAGCCATGATTCCAGACACTCAGAAACAAATCTCAAAACCCAAAGGTTTTTGGCAGAAAAGTGTCCAGTTCCTGCAGTAAGTTATAGGCGCTGGGCCACCCCAGGTGGGAATAGGTTTCGTACCTTGGCCTGTTCCCCCTGGCAGCCCGTGGCCGCCATCCTCCAGAGGCCACTGGACAGTCAGGTTTGGGCCCGCAGTGACGAGACACACATGGCTTCACGGGATGGGGGTGGAGCCGGTCCTGTCCTCCCCACCCCAATGAGACCCCAAGTCATCGCCCATGAATGGCCTCTCTGGCTCCTGATCAAGCTGCTTAACGGCCATGATCTCAGAGACTCAGAAACAAATCTTGAAACCCAGCGGCTTTTGGCAGAAATGCGTGTGGACCACGCAGTAGGTTACTTTCGCCGGGCCACCCCAGGGGCGAAAGGGTGCTGTCCCTCCACCTACTCCCCCTTGGCGGCTCAGTGGCTGCCATCCTCCAGAGGCCATTGGACAGTCAGGTTTGGGCCCGCAGTGACGAGACACGCGGGGCCTCACAGGATGGGTGTGGAGTCGGCCCTTTCCTCCCCACCCCAACGAGATTCCGAGCTGCCGCCAATGAACAGCCTCTCTGGCTCCTGATCAAGCCATTTAATGGCCATGATCCCACAGACTCAGAAACAAATCTCAAAACCCAAAGGCTTTTGGCAGAAATGTGTCCAGTCCCTGCAGTAGGTTACCGGCACTGGGCCACTCCAGGCGGGAATAGGTTTCGTGCCTTGGCCTATTCCCCCTGGCGACCCGGTGGCAGCCATCCTCCAGAGGCCACTTGTCAGTCAGGTTTGGGCCCGCAGTGACGAGACATATGGGGACTCACGGGATGGGGGTGGAGCCGGCCCTTTCTTCCCCACCCCAACGAGATCCTGAGTTGCTACCCACCAACGGCCTCTTTGGCTATTGATCAAGCTGCTTAATGGCCATGATCCCAGAGACTCAGAAACAAATCTTGAAACTCAACGACTTTTGGCAGAAATGCGTCCGGACTGTGCAGTAGATTACTGTCATCAGGCCACCCCAGGGGCGAAAGGGTGCTGTCCCTCCACCTGCTCCCCCTTGGTGACTCAGTGGCTGCCATTCTCCAGAGGCCATTGGACAGTCAGGTTCGGGACCACAGTGACGAGACATGTAGGGCCTCACGGGATGGGGTGGAGCTGGCCCTTTCATCCCCACACCAATGAGACCCTGAGTTGCCACCCACGAACGGCCTCTCTGGCTCCTGATTAAGCTGCTTAACGGCCATGATCCAAGAGGTAAAGGTAAAGGTAAAGGCCCTCCCGTTGATCGTCGATTTGCTCGAGCGGGCCCAGTAACGTCTCCATTGGAGACTTTGTTGTTACTGTGTCTGGCATATCGAATACTCTCGGTAGCTTGCCGGGCTCTCCGAGAGGGGCGGAGGAATCGAACTCGGGTCGGCCATGTTGGCCGCTTGTAAGGCGAACGCCCTACCCGCTGTGCTATCGCTCCAGCTTGGTTAGTACTTGGATGATCCAAGAGATTCAGGAGCAAATCTCGGAACTCAGCAGGTTTTGGCAGAAATCCTTCCAGATTTAATTGTTAAAACTTCGAAATTTCAAAATCACGCGGCCACTACTGCAGCCATGCAACATGGTATGTTATTCATAACCAGCAATAGAAAAGACATAGTCTACTGTTGCCTTTTCAGCAGATCTGAGTGTTGGGGTAAAATCCCAAATAACAATGGTGGGTCTGGTGTCAAAATATTGAATGCAATCAAAGTAGAGAGAGAGTAAGGTGGAAATCATCTGCCCCACAGGTAGGGTGAGGGTATGGGATGGGGGTATCCTGGGGTTTTTGGTGATGGAGAATGGGCACAGGTGAAGGTACAGGTGTTTCATTGTATTACCAAGACTTAAACCGAAAGCTTTGTAACTGCTCTCACCGTGATCTAATAAATAAAATTATATATAAAAAAAAGTAAGGTGGACTTCATGCCCAATTCAATCAGCTAATCAGTGGCTGAAAAAATAGCAGTACTCCTATATAAAAAAAAGAACATTTAAAATTAAGAGTTACTTGGTCTTGCTGATTTAAGAACACAAATTACATACAATTTGGTCTTGTTAATATACATAAGATGAGAAAGACAAGATAAAAAAATATTTAAATATGACTTAAGGATTGGGACAGTAAATATTATTTTTTCATGAGGGACCACACCTAGAGGTGCTCAGAGTTCACTCCTGGTGGGCTTGGAGTACCATATGGGGTGCTGAGGATTGAACCCAGGTAGGTGCATGCAAGGAAAGCGCCTCACCTGCTGTACTATCTCTTTGGCCCCAAATGTCTTTAAATAAGGGCCAGAGATATAGTACAATGGGTACGCCTGCCTTGCACACAGCCAACCTGGGTTCAATCCCTGGTGCCACATATGGTCCTCCGAGCCCCACCAAGTATGATCCCTGAGAACAGAATCAGGAGTAAGCACTAAGCACCACCAGGAAAGGCCCAAACATCTAAACAAAACAAAAATAAAAATAAACAATTTTACTTCACTATTTTGTCTCCTCTGGAAATTCTTTTTTGCGAGGGAAGTGATGTTCCAGGGAAATCTGGGCAAAATTAGAACTAAATTTCCTTTTTCTTCAAAGAGTAATTCCACACTCCAGCCTGGAGGCTATGACTCCCTAAGAACGCAAATGGTGGGGAACACAGCAGACCAAGTCACTTTCAGATGCAGCCTGACAGCTGCCTTTTGTGGCTGCTGGGCCATTAGCGTCTGTCAGGTAATGCTCAAGGCAGACTATGTGGGTCTTCCCAGTGGTGGACCGAAGGGCGACCAGGTGGGTGGAGCGGAGTGTGGAAGCATTCTTTTCCCGAGGCTGCTTCCCTCCCTCCCCACTTTGCTCAAGTGT